CATGGAGGGTTAGCAACAGGGGAGTGGGAGGAGGAGAAGGGGGGAGAAGGTACAGAAAATAAGTAGCATATCAGTAGGTAGAAAATAGATAGGGGTGAGGGCAAGAATAGTAGGGGAAATACAGAATCTAATGTGGTCATAAACTAAAGGGGGAATGGTTGGGGGAGAGGGTGTGCAGGGTGGAGGGGAATGAAAGGGGAAATAGAACAACTGTAATGGCATAATCAATAAAATATATTTAATAAATAAATAAATATTCCTTTGTATGTATATGCACATCTGTTGATGGCACCTGGTTTGTTTTTTGTAAAAGTTTGTCAAGGGTTATTCTTATCTTCTGGCTATTATGAATAATACTGCATTGAACATTGGCATATAGTGTCTGATTGAGTCTCTGTTTCCTGTTCTTTTTAATATACTAAAGAGTAGCCCTGGGTGGTATGGCTCAGTGGATTGAGTGCTGGCCTATGAATCAAAGCGTCGCTAGTTTGATTCCCAGTCAGGGCGCATGCCTGGGTTGTGGGCCAGGTCCCCAGTAGGACGTGCTCAGTAGGCAACCACACATTGATGTTTCTCTCCTTCTCTTTCTCCTTCCCTTCCCCTCTCTAAAAATAAATAAAATCTTTTTTTAAGGTTTTATTTTATTTATTTTTAGAGAGGGGGGAAGAGAGGGAGAGAAACATCAATGTGTGGTTGTCCCTCTTGTGGCCTTGACTAGGGACCCGGCTCACAATCCAGGCATGTGCCCTAACTGGGAATTGAACCAGTGACCCTTTGGTTTGCAGCCCACACTCAATCCACTGAGCTACACCAGCCAGGACAAATAAAATCTTTTTTTTTTTTTTTAAGTAGAATTGCTAAGTCACATGATAACTGTGTTTAATTGTTTTGAGGAAATGCCGTACTGTTTTCTCCAGAGGCTGCACTGTCTTCTTCTACTCCCATAACAGTGCACCAGGCTCCAGTTTCTCCACGTCTTTATCACATTGTTACTTTGTTTTCATTACAGCCCTTCTAGTAGGTACAAAGCCTATCTTACTGTAGATTTAATTTGCATTTCTACAAGACTAATTGTGTTTAGCACCTTTTCATGTGCACATTGGCCAAATGTCTGTTCATATCCTTTGTATATTTTAAAAGTGGGTTGTTGGTTGTTTGTCTTTTTGTTGCTGAGTTGTAGAATTCTTTACATATTCTGGGTTTTAAACCCTTATCAGACAAATTATTTGGAAATAATTTCTTCTGTTCTCTAAGTTGTCTTTTCACTTGTTGTCTTTTAGTGGTTATTTTAATTCTCAGGGTTTTATGGTCTTAGCTTGTATATTTAGGTTGTTGGTCCTTGATTAATATTTTTATATTGTAGGATCCAACTTGATTCTTTTGGATCTAGAAATCTAGTTGGCCCAAAACTATTTGTGGAAGAGACTATTCTTACCCCATTGAATGAACTTGAGACCCTTATCAAAAATCAGTTGACTGTCAATAAATGTGTGAATTTATTTCTGGTTTCTTGATTCTGTTCCATTGATCTATCTATAAGCTTATCCTTATTTCAGTACCATACTATAGCTTTTTAGTTACAAAACTAGAAAGTGTGAATTCTACAATTTTTTATTATTTAAGAATCTGTTGTTTAGCCCTGACTGGTGTGGCTCAGTGGATTGAGCACAGGCTTATAAACCAAGGGGTTGCTGGTTTGAATGCCAGTAAGAGCACATGCCTGGGTTTCAGGCCAGGTCCTCAGTTGAGGGGCACATGAGAGACAACTTCACATTGATGTTTCTCTCCCTGTCTTTCTCCCTCCCTTTCCCTCTGTTTATAAAAATAAAAAATAAATCTGTTGGTTAGCCCTGGCCAGTATGGCTAAACAACACTAGTTTAGCTTCATCCCATAATGAAGCTGAATTATGGGATGGAACTCATCCCATAGCCAAAAGGTTGCAGGTTCGATCCCCATCCTGGGCACATACCAGAGGCAACCCATTGATGTTTCTCTCTCCCATTGATGTTTTTCTCTCTCCCTTCCTCTCTCTAAAAGCAATGGAAAAAAATGTCCTCTGGTGAACATAACAAAATAAAAAATTTTTTTGAGTATTTTTTAAATATTTTATTTATTTATCATTAGAGGGGAAGGAAAGGAGAGAGGGAGAGAAATATCAATGTATGGTTGCCTTTCATGTGTCCCCTGCTGGAAACTGACCTGCAACCCAGGTATGTACCCTGACTGGGAATCAAACCGCGATCCTTTGGTTCGCAGGCCTGCACTCAATCCACTGAGCTACACCAGCCAGGTCAAATTTTTTTTTTTAATTAAAAAATAATTTGTTGTTGCCCTGATTGGTGTGGCTCAGTGGATTGGGCGTCATCATGAAGACCAAGGGGTCACCAGTCGGATTCCTGGTGGGGGGCACATGCTTGGGTTGCTGGCCAGGTCCCAGTTGAGGGTGTGCGAAAGGCAGCCAATCAATGTTCCTGTCCCTCTCTTTCTCCCTTCATTTTCCTCTCTCTAAAAATAAATAAATAGTCTTTAAAAAAAGAGAGACTGTTTAGTCCCTGGCCCTGTAGCTCAGTCAGAGCATTGTCCTGGTACTTCAAGGTTGGGTTCCATCTGTGGTCAGGGCACTTGTAAGAATTGACCAATGAATGCATAAACGGGTGGAACAAGTCTCTCTCTCTCTCTCTCAAAAATCAATAAAAACATATTCTCAGGCGGGGATTAAAATAAATAAAAATAAAACTACCATATGATCCAGCAGTCCCACTTCTCAGAAATGAAATCACAGCACAGATGAATCTTGAGGCCATTATGCCAAGTGAAATAAGCCAGGCAGTGAAAGACAAATCAAATATAGTTGACCCTTGAACAACACAGGTTTGAACTATTCGGGTCCACTAACAGTTTTAAAAAATAATGCAGATTCATTTTTAAAAATCTGTATTAGTTGGGCCCACACAGTTCAGACCCATGTTTTTCGAGGGTCAGTTGCAGATTTTTATGTGGAATCTAAAAACAGAACTTATAGAAACAGAGTAGTAGATCAGTGGTCTCCAGTGGCATGGTGGGGGAAATGGGCAAAGGTGGTCAAAGGGTACAGACTTCCCATTGAAAGGTAAGTTCTGGGGATCTGATGTACAGCATGGTGACTGTAGTTATACTATATTATATGCTTTAAAGTTGCCAAGAGAGTAGATTTTAAAATTTTACCATTAAAAACAAAAAGGTAACCATACAAGGTGGTGGATATGTTAACTAACCTTATTGTGGTAATCATCTTGCAATATATCAAAATAAAAAATAAATCTGTTGCTTAGCCCTGGCCAGTATGGCTAAACAACACTAGTTTAGCTTCATCCCATAATGAAGCTAAATTATGGGATGGAATTCATCCCATAGCCTTGCTTGTATCAAATCATCACTTTGTACATTTAAAACTTACACGTTATTATGTGTCAATTATATCTCAATAAAACCAGGAAAAAATTTAAGGTGTTGCCTGCTATTTTCACTGCATGTGACATCTGTACTGATGTTTTGAAAGCAATGGTAAAATGTTGGTACCTTAGCACAAATCAAGATAATGACACCGAGGTGTACTAATAATCCATGTGTTATTCTTCACCACCACTCACTCATTGTTAAAAAAAGATGCTAGTTGCATTTAAGAATGTCCCTGATGTAATAGCACAAATTCAACCCTTGAAAACAGGTCTGGAGGAAAATCACCTTGTAGGCTTAAGTAGCTAGCAAAACTAGACATGTTTTTAAATTGACACAGTTTTTACTTGAAAGAATGGCTGACAGAAAAACTCATTATTCAAACTTACATATTGGCCAGACATTTTCTCAAAATGCATGAAGCCAGATAGTATTTGTTGCCAATGATAAAATTTTAGCTTTCAAGTGAAAAGAGCATTTCAGAAAACTTATATATACCACCTGATGCTCAACAACTTTCCGAAGGTTTGTAATAGAATAAAATGGGGTGGGGGGCCAGACCAACATAAAAATGGCTAAATTATTATACATTTATACAGTGAAGTGATATAACAGGAAAAATGAATGAAATACAGCTCCGTGAAAAACATGGGTGGATCTTAGAAATCCAGTGGAGTTGGGGAAATTCTCAGAAGACTAAATACAGTAAGATACTATATTTAGGGATATACTTATGTAATTAAATAGAAAGATGACAGTTCAGGATAGCATTTTCTTTTGGCTGGAGTTAGAGTGGAGATGAAGGAATAGGGGAAGAATACGCAACTGAATTCAGGTATATTGATAATGTTCTTAGATTTGGTGGTGGGCTTATAGATCTTACTGCATTATTTTGCTTGGTTGGTAACAACATTGTTTCTTTTTTATATCAAATATTACATACTAATTTAAATTTCTTAGTTAAAAAAATGGCTGGTGGGCATGTGGGTCATTGTAAAAAGACATCATATTCCACTGAATTGTATATACTATAAATATATTTGAGTTTATTGGGAAAGTCATATAACTTTTCTCTCCTGTCATAGAGGTAATCATAGCATGTAAGTATTTACCACATGCTCAGTATTGTTCCAAAAAATATTTCACATGTATCAACCTACTTAATTTTTTTTAACAACTCTGTGAAGTAGGAACTATTATGTCCCTGTTCTAAAGATGAGATCCTGAGGTATCAAGATTAAAGCAGTTTATTGAAGATTTGCACAGCTAAGAAGTAAAAAAGCCAGAATTTGAACCCAACACAGTCTGGCTCCAGGGCTTACATCTTTGACCACTGTGCTTAATATCAATTGCTATAATTACACTTATTTAACCAGCTTACTATGATTAAGGTAACTGTGTGTGCTGGTAGTGTTGGAGATGGCAGGTGCTGCTGTTACTGAGATTATTAGGCCTCCTTGAGAATCTGTGGTCTCTGAGTAGGGGGCTGGGTAGGGACAGAAGCCCAGTGGGAAAGAAATTCTAAGAGCCTTTGTCAATGTGTTTGTATCTTCTCTTCTTCTAGAAACCATGGCAAGCCCAGGGAAAGACAATTATCGAATGAAGAGCTATAAGAACAATGCCCTAAACCCTGAGGAAATGAGGCGAAGAAGAGAGGAAGAGGGCATTCAGCTTCGGAAGCAGAAGCGGGAGCAGCAAGTGGGTTAACTCACTTTATTTATTCTTTATTTTTCTTCTTCTTCTTGGTGAATACTTTTTTTAAAAATGTATTTTATTGATTATGCTATTACAGTTGTCCCATTTCCCCCTTTATTCCCCTCCACCCTGCACACTCCCTCTCAACAGCATATCCCCCCTTTAGTTCATGTCCATGCGCCGTACAGGAAAGATTTTTTAACCAATTCTTTTTTTATTTATCTTTAGAGGGGAAAGGAAGGAGAGGAGAGAAATACCAATGTAGGGTTGCCTCTCGTGCGTCCCCTGCTGGGAACTGGCCTGCAACCCAGACATGTGCTCTGACTGGGAATCGAATCGTGGTTGTTTGGTTCGCAGGCCCGCGCTCAATCCACTGAGCTACACCAGCCAGGGGCAAATATTCTTAAATGTACTGTTTAGGGAAAGGACCCAGATGCCACCATTGGCCTACATCTGACACTCTCACCCTTTCTTTAGGAAAGTAGCTAAGCTGCCATGTTTGGTAGTTTCCTTTATTGTAAAGAAATGTTGGAAGCTTTGAGAAAGAGAAAATCACGCCCTTATTTTTCTATAATTTAGAACAATTAAGACATCATTTGTGTCTTCAATGTAACTTACTAGTTCTAACCCCTTGTTGCCTTCTCCCATTCTTACCCTATAGTGACTATAGTGTAGTCAGTGTAAACCTGGCCTTCGGTTCCCAGCTCCAAGCCTGGCCCTTTAAGAGGTTCATCGGCTATTCTTGGCTGCCTTGCTTCTGTTTATTGGGTCCATTCTTTGTAAGTCATTCTAGGCCTGAAAATATATTAATGGCTCATCATTTATGCTCTGCCACATACCCACTACATTGGTGCCTTGCCCAGACTAAAATGCAGCCACTTAGCCTGCTTTTCCTACCCTCCTGCTTTACCATTATTCTTTCCCTTCAAAGTCACTTATGCCTTCACCTTTTACACAGAGGACATTAGAATCTTTAAAGATATTTTTGCTTATAAAAATGCTTCCTTAGCCACGGCTAGGTAACTAAGTTGGTCAGAGCATTGTCCTGATATATCAAGGTTGTGGGTTCAATCCCCAGTCATACAAGACAACATACAATAATCAACCAATGAATGCATAAATAAGTAGAACAACAAATTAATGTCTCTCTCTCGCCCTCCTTCTCATACCTTCTCTCTCTAAAATCAATAAATAAAAACAATTGTAAGTTTAAAATTAAAAGAAAAATTTTTTAAATGATTCCTTAGCCCTGGCAAGGTAGGTCAGTCGGTTAGAGCATCATCCCAGTACACCAAGGTCGCAGGTTCAGTTCCTAGTCAGGGCACATACAAGAATCAACCAGTGAATGCATAAATAAGTAGACCAGTAAATTGATGTGTTTTTTTTCTTCTCTCTCTCTAAAATCAATAAATAAAATAAAAATGCCCGGGCTGGTGTAGCTCAGTGGATTGCGCTCGGGCCTGTGAAGCAAAGAATTGAGGTTCGATTCCCAGTCAGGGCACATGCCTGGGTTGCGGGCCAGTTCCCAGTGGGGGACACATGAGAGGCAACCACACATTGACGTTTCTCTCCCACGCTTTCTTCTTCCCTTCCCCTGTCTCTGAAAAGAAAATTTTAAAAATATTTTAAAAATAAATAAATAAATATAAATAAAAATGGTTCCTTAAAAAATACAATGAATTAGATATAATAAAAAGTAAAGCCCGTGAACATCTTTCCATGCCAGTATGTTAAACTTGGCATTTTCTTAACCATGCTAGCGTTTCCTTGACAGTTATGCCATAATTTAACATTGGGTTCTTGTTTGATTTTGTTTTTGTGTGTGTTTCAGTGAGTAGTCTTACCACCATCTCTTCTCTTTACATGCAGCTTTTTAAACGGAGAAATGTGGAGATGATTAATGAAGAAGCTGCCATGTTCGACAGTCTCCTCATGGACTCTTATGTGAGCTCTACCACTGGGGTAAGGCCCTTGCTTCACGCAGGCCTGGCGTGTACCTGCTTCTGCAGAACAGAAATCGAGCAGTTCGCATCATTTAGTAGTTTCGCTGACAGCCATACTAAGCTCTTTCTTCCGTGGGCCCTTTCATAGCTGGTCAGCTTTAAGAGTCAACAAGGATTCATCTCTGATTGAGACACCTGAGGAAACATTTAAGGAAAGCTATCAGTTGCCTCAGAAGTTAGGACTCATTTTCAAATGTCCCGACTTGAAGCAGCCATGGACTAAACAAACACCTTCTCCTGAGCCTGTCTGTTTGGCCTTCCTCTTGCCCTCAACTCATTACAAAGCAGGGTGCCACACAGGATTATGTGTGGTATCTGGCTCTAGTGTTGGTTTGCAAAGCCTTGAACCTCTTTTGTGTTCTAGGAGAGTGTGATCACAAGAGAGATGGTAGAGATGCTCTTTTCTGATGACTCTGACCTGCAGTTAGCAACCACACAGAAATTCCGGAAACTGCTCTCCAAAGGTACAAAGCCTGGTCCTCCCCAGAGACTCCCTACATGATTTAGTGTCTTGTTGCAACCCACTCCCATTCACTCGGTCTGCTCCGGTCCTCCTGGCTTTGGTATTTAGACAAGCCAGGCACATTTTTACCTTTGCACTGACTATTCCTGCTTCCTGATAGCCTCGACCGGGCATGTCTGTGTGACAACTCCCTCACTTCTGTGATCAGATTCTGCCTTCTCAGTGAAGCCTATGCTGGCGCCCTGTTTAAAATTCCAGGCTATCCTCCCGCCCTCGGCATTTTTAAGCTTCTTACCCTGCCTTACCTGTTCTTTTCTCCCCTCGTCACATTTACTGTCTTTTATCATAATAGAATGTCTGTCCTCACTGAGACATAAGCTCTTTGAGAGCAGAGACTTTAGGTTTTGTTCACTACTGTATCCTCAGTACCTGGAACTGTGCTCAGCACAATGTGTGTGCTCGGTAAAAAAGTAGTAGTAAAAATACTTCTTGCCTTAGTATATGAAGCAGTCCTCCCAAGAAAAGAATGCTGGTCTTAGAAGGAAAATGTTTAGACTAGCATTGCTCATCCCTTGAGCTGTCTTCTCTCCCTTACTTCCCTGCTTGCTTCGGTAAGTAAAGTGGCTTACTTGTGTAGGTCCAGTAAGCAAAGGCGAGCATACTTAAATTAGGATGGGCTTTACTCTTTAGCATACCAGCTGTATCATACAGTTCAACAATGACCAACTGTTGTTAAAACCACCTCACCAAAAGGGCGTTTGGGAATATTTATAAGGATGGTCAGTTGTATATAGGAAGGATGGTGGGTGGACATCAATGAATTCATCTGCTAAAGCCTATCCTGAATTTTTCTCTCCTTTCTTTCTCCTCTTCCAGAGCCTAGCCCTCCCATAGATGAAGTTATCAACACTCCAGGAGTGGTGGATCGGTTTGTGGAGTTTCTGAAGAGGAAGGATAACTGTACATTACAAGTGAGACCTGGGGTGGAGGGTGCCAGATGAAAGCCCTCCTTTCAAGAAGTTGCAGTGGGATACTTCTGTAGCCATTTCTCTCAGGAAATAGACAAGTAATGTGAGGAAACATTTCAGAGAAGCTGTTGCTATCAGTTGATTGCCTCAGAAGTCTTGGCCTCAAATAGGAAAGCCCAGATCTCTTCCAAATAATCTCAAAGGAAAGATAAAAGAATATTACAGATTGATCGTTCAGTTATAAATCAGAGGTTCTAGTCGACTTCCACATTACCTTTGTGACCCAAGGCCAATCATTTAGCCTCTCTGGGTTTCTCTTCTCTGGAATGGTTGGTGGGCCAATCTTTTAGTACTTGCTGAAAGGATTTTGAGAGCTCCATCGCACTCTAATCCTGGTTTCAGAAATGAACAGTGAAGCTTGGGAAATAAAGGGATTTGTAAAGGACTCAGGGGTGCTGTAGTGGTGCAGGAATGCTTGTGGACCGTTGAAGCCCAATTCCAGCTTCCCATACTGTTATGTCACTGTGGATACCTCTCCCTACCATTTCGAGGGGGAGAGGAAAAGGCTTGTGTTTTGATTTTTTTAGTCAGGAGCGAGAGACTTACAGCTGTTAGCCACCTGGGAGGCATGGCTGCCCTGTCTGGAATGACCTGTCAATCATGGCTTAATCTCACTTTCAGTTTGAAGCCGCCTGGGCTCTGACAAACATTGCCTCTGGAACCTCTCAGCAGACCAAAATTGTCATTGAGGCAGGGGCTGTCCCCATTTTTATAGAGCTGCTTAACTCGGACTTTGAGGATGTACAGGAACAGGTAATGCTCCAATTTGTCTTAATTTTTTAAAAGATTTTGTTTATTTATTTTAGAGAGGGGGAAGGGAGGAAGATAGAGAGGGAGAGAAATATAGATAGGTTGCCCCTCCCACATCCCCAACTGGGAACTGGCCACACAACCCAGGCACGTGCCCTGATTGGAAATCAGACTGGTGACTGGTTAGCAGGCCAGCACTCAATCCATCAACCCATACTAGCCAGGGTTCAAATTTGGCTTAAATGTTTCTGGGGTTTTTTTAAAGATTTTTTTATGTATTTTTAAAGAGATTGGAAGGAAGGGAGAAAAGAGAGGAAGAGAAACAGCAGTGTGTGGTTGCCCTCTTACTCCCCCAACCCCCCAACTGGGGATCTGGCCTGCAACTCAGGCCTGTGCCCTGGCTGGAAATCTAACTGGTGACCTTTTGGTTTGCATGCCTGCACTCAGTCCACTGAGCCACACCAGCCAGGGCAAATTTGCTTTAATTCTTGATGGTACCTGTGGTATAATAAAAAGTATATTTGGTCTTTGCTTCCAGTTCTGGCAAAGAGCTCTTAAAAAGCATAGCATTTTCTGAGTAATAGTAGTGTCTTTTGTTACTTATAATGATCCCCTTTGGAACACACCCGAGTCCATGTTAATTGGATGACTCAGGGTGGGGCTCCTGAATAATATCACAATTGCCGGGGGTGGCTGGCCATCAGAAAGACCAAATATAGGATTGGGTAGTGGGAACTCTCGGCTCCACCCCTACAACCTTTCCCTACCCCCCCACCCCAACTTCCCTCCTTTGTTTAGCTTTTTCTGAGTTGTGGCCGTTATAATAAACTGGTATGTGTTGTTTTCCTGAGTTCTGTGAACCTCTAGTGAGTTACTGAACCTGGGGAGGACATCGTGGGAACTCCTGAATTTAGAGCCAGTGGGTCAGAAGTACAAGTGGCACCTAGGAATTGCAGCTAGTGTCTGAAGTGGGGGCAGTCTTGTGGAACTGAACTTTAACCTGTAAGGTCTGTTCCCACTCGAAGAGCTAGAATTTAATTGGATTATTGGGCAGTTGGTATCAGATAATTAGTTGTTGGTGTGGAAGATCTTCCCACATTTGGCGTCAGAGGAGGTAGTGGAACACGGACACCGCAGTGCCCGTTTCTCAGTGCCTGCAGATCACAGAGACAGAGATGCGGCTTCCGTTCCCTCCACTGGCGTTTTGCTGTTGGGGCAGAAGTGGAGAGTGGTAGTGGGGTCTGTTATAGTAAGGCCGGTCTTGTGAGACTACAAGAGAGCAACTTTTTTTTTTTAAGATTTTATTTCTTTATATTTAGAGAGAAGTGAAGGAGACAGAGAGAAACATCAGTGTGTGGTTGCCCTTCTCACATCCCCAAACTGGGGACCTGGCCCGCAACCCAAGCATGTGCCCTGACTGGGAATCAAACCAGTGACCCTTTGGTTCACAGGCCTAACTCAGTTCCCTGAGCTACATCAGCCAGGGCAGAAAGCAACTTTTTAATCACTTTCTCTTTTCCTGGGGAGCGGGGATAGAGATTTGGGTTTGATTGCTCTGTACAAAGGTTAGTCTTTCTTTGCCACTGATCCAGGAACTCTAAGAAGGAAGGCCCTCATAGAGCAAGTGCTCAAAACAGATGTCAGCAGGCACGGTATCTGAGCTGACCTGGTGTGTCTCAGGCTTGATACGGTTTTTATTCTGATTATCGGTGGGTACTCACTCTGTAGTTATAAGTATAGGTAGTTATAAGTATAATGTACTCAAAGAAGCCAGTAGGCTCCGTGGTGACAGTGTCATCATCCATCCTCTTTGCAGGCAGTCTGGGCACTGGGAAACATAGCTGGAGACAGCTCCGTTTGCCGGGATTACGTCTTGAACTGTTCCATCCTTAACCCTTTGTTAACGTGAGTAATTAATGATCATCTGTACCTGGGCATCTGTAGGACAGCTTACCTTAAGATGAAAAGTAAATACAAAAATGCTAAAAGTACATTTCAATTGCCAAAGTAAAAGCTATCTTTTTTTTTTTTTAAATAAATTTATTTATTTATTTTGAATTGTTTATGCTGTTACAGTTGTTCTATTCCCCCCTTCATTCCCCTCCACCCTGCCCCCCCAACCCCACCATTACCCCCCTTTAGCTTATGTCCATGTGTCTCAAGTCCTTTAGGTTCTATATTTCCCATACTATTCTTGCCCCCCCCCATCTATTTTCTATCTACTGTCTATGCTACTTGTTTTCTGTACCTTCTCTCCCCGTCTCCTCCTCCCACTCCCCTGTTGCTAACCCTCCTTGAGATCTTCATTTCTATGTTTCCACTCCTGATCTAGCTGTCCTTTTAGTTTGCTTTCGTTTTAGGTGTGGTTGTTAATAACTGTGATTTTGTTGTCCTTTCACTGTTCATGTTTCTTTAACTTCTTTTTCTAAGATAAGTCCCTTTAACATTTCATATAATAAGGGCTTGGTGATGATGGACTCCTTGAATTTGGTCTTATCTGAGAAGCACCTTATCTGTCCTTCCGTTCTAAATGAAAGTTTTGCTGGGTAGAGCAATCTTGGTTGTAGGTCTTTAGATTTCATGACTTGGAATATTTCTTTCCAGCCCCTTCTTGCCTGTAAGGTCTCTTTTGAGAAATCTGCTGACAGCCTGATGGGGACTCCTTTGTAGGTGATTGTCCCCTTAGCTCTTGCTGCTTCCAGGATTCTCTCTTTCGTTTTAATTTTGGCTAATGTAATTATGATATGCCTTGGTGTGTTTCTTCTTGAGTCCAACTTTTTTGGTACTCTCTGGGCTTCTTGGATTTCTTGGAAGTCTGTTTCCTTTGCCAGATTGGGGAAATTTTCTTTTATTATTTGTTCAAATAGTTTTTCCACTGGTGGTTGTGTCTTTCCCCCTTCTGGTACCCCTATAATTCGGATATTGGAGCGTTTATAGATGTCCTGGAGGTTCCTAAGCTTCTCCTCATTTTTCTGAATTCTTATATCTTCATTCCTTTCTGATTGATCATTTTTTTCTTCCTTCTGGTTCACTCCATTGATTTGAGTCCCAGTTTTTTTTTCATCTCTATGGGTTTCCTGTGGAATTCCATTCATTTCCCTTAATTTAGCCTTCATATGTTTCTCTAATTTGTGGCTATAGTCCACCAGATCTGTGAGGAAGCTGATGACCAGTGTTTTAAACTGTGCGTCTGAGAGATTTGCTATTTCTTCGTCACTTAGATTTATCTCCGGGGCTTTGAGGTCCCCCTGCGACATTTTTGGTCTGTTCTGGCCCTTTAAGTGAGAGAAGCGGCTCCGTGGAGTCCCAGGTCGCTGGGTTGTGACGCTGTATGTGGGGGCGTGGTCAGAGCGGGGAAATGGCGCTGCCGCCGGTCCGACCGCTCACTCCCTCACCCCTCACCCGCACGCAACCGGGCAACCACAGTCAACTCGCTGCCACCGCCTCCCCACTGACTCCTACGTAGTCGCTCACTAGGTCCAATCCTGGGTTTGGAACCCGTGCGACTGGATTCGCGCGTCTGGATTCCGCGCCCGGGTCCGACTGAGCCCTCCTTTGTAACTCCTCACCCGACGCCGGTTTCGCCCCTTACCGGTCGGGCCGAAGAATTTGTTGTTAGTGGACTTCCGAAAAGTTCAGTTTTCCGTGTTCTGGTTGTGTTTTCTGATGCTAATATTTAGTTGTCCCTAAACTTGGTTGTGTGAGGAGGCACGGCACATCCACCTTAAACCTCCATCTTGGCGGAAGTCCAAAAGCTATCTTTTAAGAGCAAGAATCATGTGCCAGTGGTCTGTGCCAAGGCAGACCTCGTGCTTCTTCACTTCAGGGCACTGTGGGATTTCGTGTTGGTCATACTTGCCTTGTTTTGAGCCAGAGAGAAAGGCAGGATTAGCCCATCTGAAAAATCCAGCCTTCTCTCTACAGTTGTATATTGATTTGCTTATGAGTTTATGCATAGGTACATTGGAGAGCTCTGTTTCAGACACCCCATGAAAGGTCTTCTAGATCCTTCTCCCATTCCTCCCTCACTCCCTTACCATTAAAGTAGAGCTACATTACATCTAAACAAAATAGATGGATGAGTTGTTCTTCAGAGACCACAATCTCATAGGCTACCACTATAACTCTTCTCAGGCCCTTCTCAGAAAATATACTTTCAGCTTTCATTTCCAAAGAGAACAAGTACTTCTTGTTTAGAACTTTTGGCCATAGTTAGGGGCACAGTATGTCCTATCTTCCAAACTTTGCAGGCTTTCTTAAGATCCAGTCCTCTGTTTGCCTTTTTAACTACGGTCTTAACTAGCCATAGCGCTGGTCCTCTGGCCCAGACAGGCTCACTTAACTTAGTTCAACAGGTAGGAAGAAACTGAGGCTGCCAGAGTCTTAGAGCTCTGGTCAGATTTGCTCCTGGGATTTATTGACAACAACTCTATGAGAGGACATCTTGCTCAGGATCTGGTTTTGCTTTTCTTTCAGACTCCTTACAAAGTCCACACGACTGACAATGACACGGAACGCAGTCTGGGCCCTGTCGAACCTCTGCCGAGGAAAGAACCCCCCTCCAGAATTTGCAAAGGTGAGAGGGCTTCTTACTGGTTCCTGAGGGGGAGAGCAGGTTTCTTTTTTTTTTTTTTAAGATTTTATTTATTTAAGCCCTGGCTGGTGTAGCTCAGTGGATTGAGCGCGGGCCTGCGAACCACAGGATCGCGGTTCGATTCCCAGTCAGGGCACATGCCTGGGTTGCAGGCTGGTTCCCTGCAGGCCAGTCCCCAGCAGGGGACACACAAAAGGCAACCATACATTGATGTTTCTCTCCTGCTCTCCTTCCCCCCTTCCCCTCTAAAGATAAATAAATGAAATCTTTAAAAAAAAAAAAAAGATTTTATTTATTTATCTTTAGAAGGGAAGGAGAGGAGAGAAACAGCAATGTGTGGTTGCCTCTCATGAGTCCCCTGCTGGGAACTGACTGGGAATCGAACCGTGATCATGTGTTTCGCGCTCAGTCCACTGAGCTATGCCAGCCAGGGCAGCAAGTTTCTTCATATGAACGAATATTTATCTGGGAATGTTCAAGTTTTTGGAGAACCCTAGAGTCTTCTCAATCCATGGGAAACTGAAAGAGGCCATTGTCAGTGAAGTGGGTGATCTCATGTGCATGGACAGTAAAGTGGGAAGTTAGGCCTGATGGTTTAATGTAGTAGAGATCTCCAGGGCATAGAATTACCTGAAAGGAGGGGGCAGCAGTGTTAGTAGTAACAGTAGAGCTGATGAGCCCTGATCCCCTCTCACTCTGCTTCCAACAGGTGTCCCCTTGTTTGCCTGTACTGTCTCGTCTTCTCTTCAGCAGCGACTCAGACTTGCTGGCAGATGCTTGCTGGGCCCTTTCTTACTTGTCCGATGGCCCCAATGAGAAGATCCAGGCAGTCATAGACTCTGGAGTCTGCAGGAGATTGGTAGAGCTTCTAATGTGAGTGGTCTCAGAAAGGGTACAGATTCCCTAATCCCCTCCACGCTCAGACTGAAAAACTGCTGCCCTGTTCACAGGTCTGGAGCCATGAGCGTGCTCTCAGCTGAGATGGTTGTCAGGGCTGACTACGTGTGCTAACCCTCTTACCACATCTCCCTCCTCTGCAGGCATAATGATTACAAAGTGGCTTCTCCTGCACTGAGAGCTGTGGGTAACATCGTCACTGGGGATGACATCCAGACCCAGGTAAGGAAGAGGGGAGCTGCCTGTGGACAGAAGCCTTCCCTACCAAGGACAAGGAGCGACAGCATGGTCTAGGAAAGAAAACGTGGGCTTGAGTGGAAAAGTCCAGCTCTGCCGCTTACTATATAATCACGAGAACCTTGGTTGCTTTCATTTTTTTCTATAAATTGAAAGCAAGTCATCATCCATTCTGTGCTTTTGAGGAAACACTAAATTAACCTGACTTAATACCTGAAACGTTGTAAAGTAATTGTTAACAGTTTTTGAGTCTGGGCCTCTTCGAGATACCAGAAGCTGTGGAACCTTACTCCTACTTCCTAGACCTTTGGGATCCCTTGGACACTACCTCATGTTAATCTCATGTTAATAACACCTCCAGGGAGGGCACTGTGAACAGGATTCTATTCTGTTCAGAGGCTGGAGATCTGGGTATTCTTTGGTTCTTGAGTAGTTGGCATAATTTGGGGGGATTCTTGACATTCTCTTACAGGTGAGAAATCTCACTCAAACCCACATTCTCATTTTCTAGGTCATTGTTATATGTGCATGCATGAGTAAATATTCACAACATAAAATTCACCATTTTAACTATTTTCAAGTATGCATTTCAGTGGCATTAAGTACATTCACATTGTATTCTGCCATCACCACCATCCATTTCACAGTTTTTTCATTTCATACTGAAAGTCTATACCCATTAAATAATAATTCCCTATTTCCACCTCCCCCAGCCCCTGGTAACCACAATACCACTTTCTTACATGTTTGACTACTCTAGGTACCTCATATCATTAGAACCATATATATTTGTCCTTTGTGTCAGTTTATTTCATTTAGCATGTCTTTGAGGTTCATTCATACTGTATAGCACGTGTCAGACCTTCATTCTTTTTCATGTCTAAGTGATACTCCATTGTGCGTGCACACCACGTTTTGTTGATCCATTCATCTGCTGATAGACACTTAGGTTGTTTTCACCTTTGGCTGCATTGAACATTGGCGTTCAAGTTATTTGTTTCATTGTCTGCTTTGAGTTCTTTTGGATTGGATATGTGCCTAGAAGTGGAATTACTGGATAATATGTTCATTTAGTGCTTAATGTTTTGACAACACCCATAGGATTTTGCACAATGGCTACACCAGTTTACATCCTCACCCTCAAAGTACCAGGCTCCAGTTTTTCCTGTGGCCTTGTCAGCACTTCATTGTCTGGGTTCTTCGATAGCTGTCAGCGTACTAAGTGTAAAGCAGTGTCTCGTTTGGGTTTCGGTTTGCAGTTCCCTGATGACTAGTGATGTTTGGCACCTTTTCATTTGCTTTTTGGCCATCTGTGTATCTTCTTTGGAAAAATGTCTATCCAATTCCTTTGCCCGTTTTTAAATTGGGTTGCTTGGATTTTTTCTGTTGAGTTGTAAAAATTCTTTATATGTTCGAGGTATTAATCTTTATCAGGTATATGATTTGCATATAGTTTCTCTCGTTCTATTGTTACCTGTTCTAGGTCATTCTCAACTGTTCAGCGCTCCCTTGCCTCCTCCACTTGCTGAGCAGCCCCAAGGAGTCAATCCGGAAAGAAGCTTGTTGGACCATTTCAAATATCACTGCTGGCAACAGGGCTCAGATACAGGTAGGACAGCAGGAGGGAGGTGGGGGGGCGGGGATATCAGGTGAGAAGGCTTAGGGGCATGAGAGGTTTCAGAATATTTGTTTCCAGGGGAATTTGTTTCCCTTTAGAAATTGGGGTGTGCATGTGCTATTGGTTAAGGATTCTGCGTAGCGGAAGCCGGGTTCCCCTGTAGCCTCTCAGCCATGGAACAAGAACAAAGGGAAACTTCCAGGAAAGGAAAGTGTATAAATATTAGCTGATTCATGGGCTGGATTTGATTTCTCTTTTTGAAATGACTTACTTTTTCCTTCCTACCCCCCCCATCCTGTCTCAGGCTGTCATAGATACAAACATCTTCCCAGTGTTGATTGAAATTCTTCAGAAAGCAGAGTTCCGTACAAGGAAAGAGGCAGCCTGGGCCATCACCAATGCCACATCTGGAGGAACTCCTGAGCAGATCAGGTATCACCTTTTTACCCTCTTGGCTCACGGTTTACAGGTGACCTCCAAACTGCTTTTTCTGGGATAGTCTGCTCCATCCAGTGGCAGTGGGTTTTAACTGATGAACTGCTGCAGGGGCCCTGCAGTCTGGAATAGATAGCTGTAGACCATGTGCTTCTTTTTCCTCTGGAGAATAGAAGCCTACAACACGTCCATCTGTCTCTCCTGTACCTCTTCCTGCCTGCCAGAGAGTACATGTGCTTGTCAGTACAAATGAAGGACAACCATGCTTGCTGTGGTTCATCAGAGCAGGTTCTTTGGGAAATCATTTTTGGGAGTGATACGTGGGAGAAGCCAATAGCTGTTTTGAGTTTGTATGTTCTGTAGGAGTGGTGGGAATTGGACAAGTATCTTGCCCTCAGCAAGGGAAGTATATTCAGTACAGTTCACATGCCACTTAATGACAGAAATACATTCTGAGAGTAGGCGATGCTGTCATTGTGTGAACGTCACAGAGTGCACTTACATAAACCGAGATGGTCTAGCCTGCGACACACCTAGGCTATATGGTGTAGCCTGCCGTTCTAGGCTACAAGCCTGTGCCACACGTTACCACACAGAACAACACAAGATGAAATCAGGCACAAGAGAAAATGGTGCAATCACGAGGCGCAGGAAACACGAGACATATGAGGCTGCTGCCAGGGTAACACAGTGCACCGACAGCAAACGTTTTTATGAGTAGGAAGAGAATACACTTTAAAATAATGATAAAAAAGTACAGTGTAGTAAATACAGAAAGCAGCAACATAGTCGTTTATTATCTTCATCAGATACTATGTACTGTACATAATTCTGTGTGCTTTTGTACAACTGGCAGTGCTGGTTTGCTTACACCAGCATCACCACAAACAAGTGAGTAATGTGTTGCACTGTGACATTATTGTGATGGCTATGATGTCACTAGATGATAGGAATTGTTCAGCTCCATTATAATTTTATGGAACCGTCGTCATACGTGAAGCCCATAGTTGACTATATAATGCTGTAAGAAAAAAGGCGTAGTCATTCAGTTAATCTTTGAAGGGTAAATACTGGGTTGTAAAAGGTCTTTAGCCAGCAAGCCACACCAGTCAGCGTGGCCTTTTGGATTGGAAAAGACATAAATAAAGGTACAAGAACCGGACACCAGGAAACCTTTGCGTGTTTGTGTGGAATGGAGTGTCCTTAGAAGGGAACGATGAGGCGCTGTGCTGGAAGAAGAGGACGGCAGCCAGACCGGAGAGCGGCTGTGTTGTCCCTGTGGAGCTCGGGCTGTGAAAACGTTTAGGCAGGGAAATGACATGTTCAGAATGGTAATACTGCAGCAAGGAGACATTAGAGATGAGGAGAAGTCAGCAGCAGACTTTCACATGGAAATGAACTAGACCAGAGATTTTCAGCCAGTGTGCTGCAAGAATTTTTAAAAATGCAGTATTTGACTGTTCAGTCAGGGACACTGACCTCTTTTCCCTTAGATTGCCAAATTTAAAAAATGACACCAGCCAACACAACACTAGCCATATGGTGCACATGAATCAAAAGTTTTTTTGGTCAGATTAGTAAAGATATACTTTCAGTGTGCCACAGAATTTTAGTAATTGGTTTATATGTTCCATGAGATGAAAAAGGTCGAAAGTTGCTGAACCAGACCATTAGTACTGGGAAGGTAGAGAGATTCAGATACAGGCTAGGTGGTTGGGAAGGTTCAGTAAAGTGGATTGCTCAGTGTGTTGACGTGTATGCGGGAGAGTGTAGGCACCGGGCACCTCCCTTGCCCTGCAAAAATTTAGAACTTGCCTGGTCTCTGGTTCCCAGGTACCTGGTCTCGCTGGGCTGCATCAAACCCCTGTGTGACTTGCTGACTGTGATGGATTCAAAGATTGTGCAGGTGGCTCTTAATGGACTGGAGAACATCCTTCGGCTCGGAGAGCAAGAGGGCAAGCGCAGTGGCTCAGGGGTGAATCCCTACTGTGGCCTCATCGAAGAAGCCTACGGTACGTGCCCTCTCCCCATCGTCATCTCTGCCTTAGGCAGAGAGGTTCCAGGTCAGAGTCTTGGGACTGCAGGCCTCCAAAGTTGTATACGTATGTGAGGGTGTATGTTTTTTAGAGTCATCATTTTTTTAATAGATTTTATTTATCTTTAGTTGGGAAGAGAAGGAGAGAAATATCAGTGTATGGTTGCCACTCATGAGTCCCCTGCTGGGAACTGGCCTGCAACCCAGGCATGTGCCCTGACTGGGAATTGAACCATGGTTGTTTGGTTCGCAGGCCCATGCTCAATCCACTGAGCTACACCAGCCAGGGCTAGAGTCATCATTGAATGCAAGGTTTTTTGTTTCTAAACTGATTTGAGAGAGAGAGATTTGTTGTCCCACTTATTTACGCAGTTGTTAGTTCCTTCTTGTATGTGCCCTGACCAGGGATCAAACCTACAACCCTGGTGTATCGGGACAATGCTCCAGCCAACTGAGCTACCTGGCTAGGGCCTGAAAGCAGGGTTCTATTCTACCAGTTCCTTTTCTCTCAGGGGAACAATTAGATCTCTTCTTTCTGATGGACTCCACCCAGTGAGTAGATATGATAGGATACAAAAAGAAAGCTCCAGAACTGATAATAGAGTCAGGCACTAGAGGCATGTTTTTAGCTGAGTTTCTAGCAAGTTCCAGTTAGAGTGTAGAATGTGCTTATCATTCGTCTCTTGAGAGATTCAGAGAGGCTGATGATGTGCCCAGGTGACACAGGTAGTTAAACACAGAATCAGGACTGGAACCTCCGCTTTATAACGGACATTTTGGTCTTTTCCTTTGGGGTCATGTAGTTTGGAGGGAAATGTTGGCTTTTCTCTTTCATAGCAAAAAAAGAGATTTCATCATATTTGTGTTTGTAAATAGCAGCATACCTCAGGGAAAGAAAAATAGGTAAATGTTTCCCAGAGCCATAGAACAGCACTTGTGCAAGTTCACTCTGCCTCCTTCCTTCTCACCACCACAGGCTTGGATAAGATTGAGTTTCTCCAGAGCCATGAGAACCAGGAGATCTACCAGAAGGCCTTCGACCTCATTGAGCACTACTTTGGTGTAGAAGATGATGATAGCAGCCTGGCTCCCCAGGTGGATGAAACGCAACAGCAGTTCATCTTCCAGCAGCCTGAGGCCCCCATGGAGGGCTTCCAGCTATAATGTCTGCCTCCGGGAAGGGGATGGGATGGGAAGCACCACCAACCAGCGGAAGAGCAGCCCTCTGGTGAGGGGGAAACCAGCCCCCCACTGTCAGCCACCACACACCTCTGGTGCCCTGGAAACTGTGCTCTTGACCTGCTCCACCCCCTTCCCTGGAGGGAGCACCCTCTGGACAGACAGAACCATCTGAGGCTCACATTTGGGTTTTGTGACAAGAAGGGGACGTGTTGGGTTTTTCTTCCTCACACTATATTTTGGCTGCACATATGTCTTTAACCCAGGAGCCCAGGGGTAGACAGAGGAGGACTGAGGTAATCAATTTTGCACCTTTTTTATTTTTATTTTTTTCTTTAGTGGTGACTTTGTTCCCTTTATCTTCCTTCATCCTTCCCAGTTCTCTGCCCTGATCTGTGTAACTCTTATCTTGGGTACTTGAGCAGGTGGAATATTCCAGAAATGGGGGTGGGATGGGCGGGGAGAAATCCAAAACAAAGTATTCTTGCTCTGACAGAATATTAATCTTGTATGCTTGGATTGAGTTATTTAATTTTTTTTTTCTTTTGCACATTTTTCTTGTATTAAGATTGCTCTTTCCAAGGACCATGAGTTCCTGGTTCTAGGAATCCCAGCTGCCAGCATCGTCTGGGACTAGAGGCTGAGGGGAGGTCACCGTGAGACAGAGGCCCTTCCCTTCCTGCCCTCTAACCCCTTCCCAGCCCTCTTTAGTTTGGGAGATCCCCTCACTCTCCTGGGGCAAGTACACCTGTGGGAGTGGAGCCGGGGGCACAGGCCTTTCAGACGGGGCTTCCCATGTGTCGCTACTGATCCCATGTTTCCTTCCCACCTTCCAATGGTGCGACCCAACTTCATTTGTTTACTTGAAAATTCCCCTCAGAGATGAATGAGCCTCTGAGGTAGCTGTATTTTCTCCTAAGCACGAGACAGGGGGCTCTAGTCCTTCCTTTCTCCTGAGGAGAAAGTCCTTGCTCTGGTGACCCATAAGTTGCAGAGGAGGTTGGGGCGAGAGTGTCCTGTATTGGGGTAGCCAGGGATCCCTGCCTTGGCCTTTCTTCCTCTTCTTCCTCTCCCATAGTTGGATCATGTATATTTTACTTCCAAAGGAGAGAATGTCAAAAAGTTCTGTATTTTTTTATATTCTATATATTAAGTAGGTCAATCTTAATTGGTCTCAAGAGGAAGAACTCTTGTAACTTCTAGAAGTAGGATACTGTGAGGAAGACCGAAAGGAAATGTGGAGGCTCCCGCACTCAGGAGGCCTGAGCTTGATCTCTTTCTTCTCTGCTTGGGTTCTGGGCCCCCACCTGGGACCAGCTTCAGCTCTGGAACCTTTACATAGCAGGTCAGCCTGGTCTGATTGTCCCAGCACCTGAAGGAAGCGAGGACGACCCAGGGGATGGTGAAGTCTACCACTGTAATCCTCATTGCCGAGCATCCCGCTTGCATCGGGAAACCCAGAGGCAGTCTGCCTTCTCAGATCTGGTCTGAGGCCCTTGTTCACATAAGTTAATGTACGTGGTTCCTCTATTACTATGACAGAAACGTGGCAGCCTCAGGACTTACTGTTATCTTCTCTATTTGGGATCCTTATACCTGGTTTGCGTTTTGCCCTTCCTTGTGACAATTGTAATCCCGATGTCTTTTTTTTCTGTTTGAGTAAAGCTAATGCAGTGCCACAGTGGCTTGCCTGTGCTTTGGTGGATTACATATGAGAGTAAAGCCCAGTTGTTGGGGGATGGGGGTGGAGAAAGTTGTCAGCTGTGTATAGAACAACCATGAGAAGGCACAGTCTGCCTCACCCCCCGCTTTGCAGCTCTGGTCAGTCAGAGGTGCCCTGCTGAAGGTGTTTCTTCCCTTCCCCAGAAATAGTGCCATTCTCGTTCCCATTTCTGCACACCTCCTCTGGCTCAGGTAAAATCCATGCCCCTCTATTTACAGATCTAAAGTTCAGGTGCTCGCTGTCAGCCATGGTGTTCAATTTGCCCTCCTTCTAGTGTGAGTTCCAAGTCCACAGCCATTTTCTGAGAAAGGTGGTTTGGGCTAAAGGTTTTCACTGAAAAGTCACATTGATGCTGTACCACTTCAGTGAGTGAGATGCTACGCTTCGGCTTGGGAATGATGACAGTCTACTCCCAGGCAGGCAAGAGCAGGACCTTTTTCACATGGCCTGCGGACTCCATTACAAAACTGTTACAGTTCAAGGGAAAACTCCACCTTCGCCCCAACCCAACCCTTTTCTAAGGGGAAAGCACTTTACTAGGATCTACTCTGTACATCTCAAGCAATAGTTAAGTCCCTGGCATTGGGGCCAAATTCTTACTGTGAGACATACATATCCTGCTTTTTCCAACTTTTCCTCCAAAATCTATTTTCCCTTTAGATCTGGGCCCTGTACCAGATGGAAGACTTTTGATCCTCAAGCTGCTGCTTAAAGTCAGTTTTCTTCAAGGACTTTTTAAAGGCTGACGTCTCCCAGGGCACAATATGAGGACAGATTTCTCATCAGATAAAAGTGGCCTCTAGGAGCTTTCCTTTGTTAGTGTCTTCCTCGGACCGGACCGTGTTTTCCCATAATCTTCCTCCAACCCCTTTCCATCAGCAGGTGAAGTTCTTCCAGCCCACTGAGGGAGTGACATCATCCTTTGAGTCTCCTCCTTTCCTTTGGCCATCTTGGAAAGCAAAATAATATTTCTTTAACCATGGCTTGACAGCCACTTTTCATGGGCGGCTCCCATCGGACTCCAGACGCTGGCCTACCTGAGGTCAGAGGCTTTCTGGTAGATTTCTGAGCAGATGTGGCAGGGATGGAGGGCTGCCAGCCTCCTGTAGGGAACAGCCTGATATGACATGGTTTTGGAGTCTCTTCATACGTTGGCACATGGCTGGTATGTCCATTTTAAGATCTTTGGTGGGGGTGGAGGTGTGTGGATTAAGGGGACGAGGAGCCTTTTTCTTAGCTAAAGTATTCAAACCCTGTTTTGAGTAATGCCAGCCGTTCTTTATTGCCAGCCCCTCTGGGCGTCTCCAGTTCATCCTCTAGTACTAACAGGATCTCTAGTCTTAGAAGCTTGCCTTCAGTTCTGAGTGATCCCCAGTGACCGGCCAGCCTGGTTATTTGGGTCATTGGGTACAAATGACCCAAGGCACAGGTAATGATGACTTCATCTTCCAGAGAGCCTTGTTCCCCATTACCTATGACCCTTAGATCTGTTCCTTCTACTCTATTTGTCCTGGAAGCTATTTAACAGGAGCCAATTTTTTTTTGGGGGGGGAGCTGAACTGCACAGAGTATAGCTGCTACTGTACTGAGTCAGGGAAGAGCAAAGGAAGGCTCTCAGGCATAGACTTTTGCTTCTCTCAAGCCAAACCAGCTTAAAAGGAAGAATGGTCTACAGAGTGAAATGGGTTTCCATTTTCTCGTGTCTGCCTGCCTTTTCCCTACATCCTGTTTCTAGCAGACTAGGAGGGAAGACGGATGCCGGGCAATACTTCCCTTCTCATCTACACACGCTCCTTTGAATGCCTCAGCACCTATGTTCGGGCCACATCTCTTCTCCCTGACTCACTCAGCTTGGTGTCCATGATCTTGGGTATTCTGTAGATTCATCTTAGGGACTCAGATTCTAGATTCTCAGTTGAAAGCAGAGAGCCACATTCTCCAGGTCCCTATACAAACTATAGGGACCTATAGGGAAACCAGGCTGGCTGGGGGCCTCAGGAATGTGTGTGACCACCTGCTTCCTTGGCACACTAACCCACAGGAAAATGCTCATAACCAGTAGCAACATTTAGATAGGACTATCCTAGGAACGAGTGAGTGCAAGACTGCAAAATTGCTCAGAGTAGGGTTTTTCCATAGCCATTTTAGGATTCTAGACCAATCTGGTCCAATAATTCTTCTGTCTTACCTTTTGGGTTCTTTTGTTAGACTAGCAAGCTGAGAATGTAGCCCTGTGGGGATCCATGTTGTGGGCATTAGCTGCTCTTACTCAGTCATCCTGTTGTCCAGCCACCAGCCCAGATTAAGACCATAGCAAGGGAAGAATTTGAGGTCAGTACCAACCAAGTCTGAATTAAAGCTGTTATTTTTCCTCTGAGGGCATTTTGCCTCAGGTCTGGGCTGTTTGTAGAACCAAAACTGGGTATGAGAGAAGAGGCAGCATTCAATTTGGGGCCCAGAACACCGCAGGAGAAAGGTTTGTGTAGCGTATAGTTTGGGCCTACCTCGCTATTTCTGGGCCAGCCTGACTGCAGATGTCCACGTTAGAACATACCCAAACCCTCTGCTAAGTGCTAGTCCTGCTTCCCGATGTAGGTCAGATTATCAGCCCCTGGGTTTGAGAACAGAAAATCTTATCATGCCCTGAAGGAAATCGAAGCTCAGATCCTGAGATAGGCTGGGAGCCTCAGGCTCAGGGGATGGCTTAACAAGTCCACCTGTAGAGAGCTCTCAGGCCCTGTAGTTGGGTATTGGCTCCCAACTTCTGTGGCAACTGCCTCTGATTGAACCACTAAAGAAGTGAAGGGGTTATGAAGTCCCAACCACCCGAGACAAACCCAGATGTCCCTTGAAAGCAGCTTGGGTTACCAGCTACAGACTTTAGGAAGGTGAATCGAACCCTTTTTCTCACTGGCTTTTCTTTCTGGACCCATTTGCTTTTAGTTTTCAAAGAACTATAAACTCTGGCTATTTTTTATATTCTCAGGACCCCTGGGTAGATAGACAAAGCTTGATTTCAGAGCAGACAGAGGCCAAGAAACCGTGGCATTGCGTGTGCTGAGTCCAGACAAATGATATTTATATACACATCCAAATTTGAAGAAAAAATGTATTTCTTTAGGTTTCGAACACTGTAATAGATATAAAGCAAAAATAAAAACCTGTTGCAAAGTTCTAAATTGTCTTTTTTGGGATAATCCTAGACTGGATTTTTTCGAAGTGAATGAGGAGAGGGTATTTAAATGTCTGGGCCTAACACTGGAATCAAGATTTGCAACAGCCTACTCCTGCTATAAAGATGTTTTTAAAAATCAGCTTTATTGAAATATAACTGACATACAGTAAATGGCACATTTACAATGTACAATTTGATAGATTTTGACATATGTACCCATGAAACCATCACCTCAATCAAGATAGTGAACCATATCCATCACCTCTAGAAGTTTCTGCATGTCTCCTAGGAATCCTCACTCAACCCCCAGCAACCACTGATCTGCATTTTGTTGCTACAGTTTAGAGAGCCCATAAAGGTCATACAGTTCACAGACTAAGTTTGAGAATTGAGTTCTCAAACAATTTGCTCCAGAAAACTGTTCGAGAAGTGACTTGTGGGAAAACCGAATTTCCTCTGTTGTAACTGGTCATACAGGCATCAAGCATGAAAGGGTGGTCAGGCAGAGAATCGACACCCAAAATTTTGTTAGACAACCGAGACATTTTTCCTGTGAACAACTTGGTCAGGAACCAAACTCTTCACGAACCAGTCAATGGAGGTTTGACTGTAACTTGCTTCAGTTTAGATCCATTCTTAAAGTAGGGATTATAGACAAGTAGCCAAAAAGTTGATTCAACCCAAAAGGAGGATTTTGGTTGCCTGATAGTGTGTTTAAGGTTTGATATGTTGCCAACATTTTAAAAAATAAAGATAGCCCTGGCTGGGTAGGTTCACTTGGTTAGAGCATCACCAAAGTACAGTTTGGATCCCTGGTCAGGGCACATACTAGAAACCACCAATGGATGCATAACTAAATAGAACAACAAATTGATGTCCCCCTTTTTCCTTTCCTCCCTCTCTAAAATCAATTTAAAATAAAATATAAAATAAAAATATCTATCTTGTAAAATACCTGGCAATACCAGTCCTGAGCATCTACTTGAAAGACCTGCACGAGCTCTATTTGACCACAATCACCACCATTCTGAATGGTGTCCCTCAAGGCAGATTTTAATATTGTTGCTATTTTCCTTGATAGTAAAGGAGCAAGTAACTTTTTAACTCATGTTTATCAGATTTTATTCCTTGCCTGCTTACTCCACTCATTACCCAGCTGTAGGCTGTAACCTGTAGGCTACTGTTGATCCTTATTACACTACTCCACCCCTCACTTTGTTCTTGCTTACTGTGTTCTTTACCTGCCTCGAACACCTTCTTTCTATGGAAATCCATCAAGGTCTGATTTATATATTAATTCCTCAACAGATTCCCAACATGCTTTTCGAGAAATAATCAGGCCTTGGCTTCTCGAGACCTGGATTCCAAAACTTTTGGGCTTGATCTCCACCATTATATTACACCATATCACCTCTCAGTGTTACCTGGTAAACGTGAACGTGTGCCGCCTAAAGGAAGGGAAAGACCACTGCCCAGGAGTCCCCTACCTGGGAAAAAACACAACACCTTTTTCTTTCTTTTTAAGATTTTATTTACTTATTTTTAGAGAGAAGGGAAGGAAAAAGAGAGGGAAAGAAACATCAATGAGTGGTTGCCTCTCATGCGCACCCCCCACCCCCCACCCAGGGGGCCTGGCCCGCAACCCAGGCATGTGCCCTAGACTGGGAATCAAACCCGCAACCCTTTGGTTTGTAGGCCAGCACTCAATCCACTGAGCCACACTAGCCAGGGCTTTTTCTTTGTTTTTTGTTAAGAGATTTGTTGTTGCATTTTGACATCCTTTTTTCTTTGACTAAAAAATAAATTTAGTTGTATTTTTTCCATTACTATTTATCCTCCCATAGCCCCTTCTACCTCCACCCACTCACCCCTGCAATCACCATACTGTTGTCCAGGAGTAATATTTCACTTTTTAAAAAAATATTTCACAGCCCTGGCTGGTGTAGCTCAGTGGATTGAGCACAGGTCTGTGAACCACAGGATCGCGGTTCAATTCCCAGTCAGGGCACATGCCTGGGTTGCAGGCCAGTCCCCATCAGGGGACGCACTAGAGGCAACCATACATTGATGTTTCTCTCCCTCCTCTTCTAAAGATAAATAAATAAAATCTTTAAAAAATATATTTCACATCTTAAGGTCCCTAAAACGATGCTGATTTGCACAATTAAAACATTCTCTGCCCCCCCCCCATATCCTAGGCTTTAGGACCTGAGGATTTAGCCAACAGATCTTGTAATGTTCATTGATTTGTTGGCAAATAATTTCAACACCTAATGCTGTAATAGAAATATATCTAGGCGTTGGGAGCTAGGACAGACTGCGAGCAGAGCACTGGAGGGCGCTGAAGTAACCTTTGGGCTGGGCTTCAAAAGATTTTGTTTTTGCCAGAAGAGCATTTTGGAAGCTGAATAGCCACTGCAAAAACCTGTAAATAATAATAAAAGTGTATCTGGAGCAAAAATACCGCAGAGGGGGTGGGCAAGATTGGCTGGAAATCGAAGCCAGGCTTGTACACATTAAATTCCAGGAGTGTGGATTGTTGGTTTTCATTCCATTATCTATATGCAACTGGATAAAGAATTGTTATCTCACATTTGCAGAAAAGTTTGACTTCTCACCTTTATCCCCTGTGCAAAAGGAGAGTGGGTCAGTCAGAGAAAAGGCTCAGGAATCTGCTGAGACTAAAGTTCTTAAGAGGGTCCCCTCAACCCCTTCCTAAGAGGGACTCGTGCTGGTAATGGAGAGGGAGGAAATATATATTTTCACAAGTTTTTACGTTAACTCGTCCTCAGGGTAAGTGGGCCATGAGGGTTATTCTTTCTGAGTGGGAGGCAGGGTGTACAGACGTTCCGGACTTCCTGCTCTAACCAGTCAATAGCGATGAGAGCTTGGAAAAGTTATCCAACATTTGCTTTACCGTCCTGACCTGTAAAATAATAGCAAGCAGTACTTACCTTGAGTAGTTATCTGAGAGTTAAGCTAATATATAACGGTAAAGCACGTCGTCAGCGCTCAGAGAACTGCTATTGTTATTAAAAGACTCTATTTGAATACGGAAATGGAGGCCCCGGGAGAGAAGAATGCCTAGTCACAGAGCAAATAAGTAACCAAGTTAAGACTGCAATACAGGTCTCCTGCTTTCCTGCCCAGTATTCTGTCCCTCGTCCTCAGTTCCCAGACGGTCGTACATGTTCACAAGAGAGGGGAAGGGTTGTTGGTGGAGGTGTGCAAGAGAGAAGAGCCAAGATTAAGGCTTTCGGAGCTGAATTACAGCTTCTGAACGACTGAAACGAAGTTGACGTGGATGCCTGTGCAGAAGGACTGGCTCCTTCCGAACCTCCAGAGTATCCGGCTCCTGGAACTAAAGCCTTTCTACTGCATTTTGGGAATTGGGGCGGGCTCATCCCTGGTGCTTGGCGGGACGTGTAGTCCTTTCCCCTCCTCTCTTTCCCAACTCGCCTGCTTCTGAGGCCCCCTTCCCTTAATCTTTCCCATCAAGCCCCGCGCGAGCGCCGACTATTGATTGGCTGCGGGGAGCAGGCGGCTCTGCCGGCAGCGGTTACCCAGGGTTTCCGGTGCGAGACCAGAGCGGGCGAAGCCGTCAGGACGTCAGTGGTGGGGTCCGTACCCCGAAGACTAGAGGGAGAAGGCTATCAAGGGTCTGTATTTCTAAGTGCTTTCGCCCAGTAGGGAGAATCACACAGATTCTACGCGAGGGTTCAGGCCGGGGGGCAGGGCTGAGGCTTGTGCGCGTGCGCGGGCGGTGGGAGGGCGGGCGGCGCCTGCGGTGTGAGGGCGCGCGCGCGGAGCGTAGGTGGCTGTGCGCGCGAAGGTACGGGGGCCCACGTGGAACCCGGGAGGCGGGGGAGGGACCGGGAAGCGAGCGTTCCGCCACGTCAGTCACCGGCTGCAAGCCAATCCCAAGCTTAGCGGTTCCTGAGGGGGCCGCATTGTGCCGGGAAGAGGCTGCTGCAGGAAAAAGGAGGCCTTTCCTCCTCCGCTACTGGAACAGCTTTCCGAAAACCTACCAGGGCACACCAGGCTCCCCTGACTCGCCAGAGACCAGGAGTACCTTTGGTTCCCTACCGGAAAGGCCGGCCAGTTTAAGAAGCTTTGTGCATCCGGTGTCGGGATTTCTTTTCCAGGCTGAGAATTTCGAAGTCTGGAAAATAGCGAGAGTGCTTGTTTCTGTAGGATCTGCTTCTCACCTGACATTGCAAACCACAATGAAGAACCAAGACAAAAAGAATGGGGCTGCCAAACAATCAGGCAACACTTCCAACCCAAAAAGCAATCCGGGGCAAGCGGAAGCAGGAACAGAGGGAGCCCAGGGGCTGCCGAGTCAGTCGGCCTCTGCGACAGAAGCTGAAGGTTCCTCCAGCCAGGCTCCCGGGAATACAGAGGGTGTGTGCCGGTTCTGCTTTTCCAGCAGGCAGGGGGAGGAGTTTGTAGTGCGCCAGTCCAGCTCCTGGAGTTAGCGGGCCCTTTTTATACCCAGAAAGAAAATGGGAACGACAATGCTGAGTGTGAGATCCCCACCGTGTCCTAGGGGTAACAGGATTAAATAGGGTGGCAGTCAAATGAAACACCAAACTGAAAGTCCAGATTAGAATCACCTCATGCAGCAGTGGGTGATTACTCTTTAGAATTGAGGCATTTCTTGAACTTTTTTAATATCAAGAAATTATTTTCCTGGGGCGGAGAAGGGGGTTGGCTAGACAGTGAGGTCCTGCTACATGCCGTCTCTCCAGGCTGGATGTTTTACTTACTTGGTTTCTTTTATACTCAAACATGGTTGGGTGGTAGTGGAAAATAGATGTCATTCTATCGGTAAATAAACTGAGGCTTTAAAAAGTTAGGCAACACTTAAACCAAACCAGTTAGTATGGGCCTGAAAAATCTCTGCCAGTGGTATAACCATCTTATTTCGCACTCTGTCCCTCATCCTCTCCAGTAGGAGCACAAGCCAAAACTGCTCAGTCTGGTGCCCTCCGTGATGTCTCTGAGGAGCTGAGCCGCCAGCTGGAAGATATCCTGAGTACGTACTGCTTGGACAACAATCAGGGCGGCCCAGGTGAAGATGGTGCACAGGGTGAGCCTACTGAACTCGAAGATGCAGAGAAGTCCCGGACCTATGCCACAAGGAATGGGGAGCCTGAGCCAGAGACTCCAGTGGTCAATGGTGAGAAGGAGACCTCCAAGGGGGAGCCAGGCACAAATGAGATCCGGGCAAGTGATGAGGTGGGAGACCGAGACCACCGAAGGCCGCAGGAGAAGAAGAAAATCAAGGGTCTGGGTGAGCAGAGGGCTGCTACTTATGAGGTGGGTGAGGGGAGGGAGTTTGGACCTGACACTCCTTGGGCTGGCCTGCTCTGCTAGGATTCAGAGGAACCCCTGCTTCCCAGAGCAGTGTATTCTACTGGTTTAATCATATCCGGGGCATGGGGCCATGGCACAAAGATGTGCGTGTTCACTACACAACAGCTTCTGGCCTTGGGAGTGAGTGAGAACCAAAATCCAACCTGCTGTCTTGAGAAGATGGAAAGTACGGGGCCTGGTGGACTCCTATGCCATCCAGCACCATTTCTCACCCGTGCAACGTTGGGCAAGGTCTTTCTCCTCCCTGGGCCTTGGTAGTCACTTCTCTGCAGTAAGAGAATTGGACTAGACCAGGATTAAATACTCAGATAAGCCAAGCTAGTCAAGAGAGTCATCCAAAAGGTTGACTGCCACTTGGTCCCAGCGAGTCAATAGCATGCAAAACTACAGGTTTAGTCTAGACAGCCTTCTTTTTTTTTTTTTAAGAAAAGCCAGTTGCATGCAATTTCTAGATTTTTAACAGCTGGCAACTGATATGCTAGGAGCCAAACAAAACCCATCTATGGGTGAATTTGGCCTGTGAGCTGGTGATTTGCAGGCTCCACACTGATCTCTTCCCTCCCAGGGCTGCCACTTCAGAAGCCTGGTGCTGTGCTATGCACGCAGCCCTCCAGGGAGACAGAGGGAAGAATCCAGCTCAGGCACAGGCAGTGGGTGAAAGTCATTTGGGTGAGAGTGGAGATAGGGGGCTAGCGTGTCTTAAAGGATCAAAGTTAGGTGGTGTTGTACCCATGCCTTAGTGCTTGCTGATCCACACCCTGTCATCCCGAGTTAAAGTTTTTTTTTGTTTGTTTCCAATTTTAGTGTTAAATATTGGAAGTTCCTTGTTTGACTACCTCCGTTGATAAAGTAGTTCTAAAGGAGACCAATTCCTTTTTGCCCTCTTTCTCTTACAGAAGGGCCTTCCTTGCATTGAACAGTAGTGGGGAATTCACAGGTGGGACACTTAGTAAACCTGTTGGCAGAGCAGGCAGGTTTTTTCTCCCACTTCTGGTGCTCACCAAGAAGATTCCACAGAGATTCAGTCATTCATTTAGTATTTGTTGAGCATGTCCTCTGTGATGGGCACTAGGGGCAGCAGCAGGCTACAGTGATAGGCAGAACTAAGTTGGTCTCAGCCCTCAGGGAGCTCACAGACTAGCAGGGAAGGCAGCCAGTTCAACAAGCAAATATAAAGTATTGATAGGGGAGGGCTGTCTCAAGGTGGAAGAGTATAGGCCCAGGCCTGGGGGGCTCTACCAGAGAAGGGGGTACATGGTACATGCTTATGCTCCCTGTACTTTGCAGGAAAGGAGATTACGTTACTGATGCAGACGTTGAACACGCTGAGTACCCCAGAGGAGAAGCTGGCAGCTCTGTGCAAGAAGTATGCTGAACTGGTCAGTCCTCCGCCTTCTCCTTGCACCATCTCTGCCTTGGAAAGTCAGCACACCACCCAGCATGGGGTTGAGGGTACAAGGGCAGATGGGTGGCGTAATTCCTGTTCAACTTCTTTGAGCCTTTTCTTCATCTAACTTAGGGGTCAAGTCCCAGCCAGCCTCTTCCAGGCTGACAGTAAGGAGAAATTTCACATTCCAGTGGAAGAGACCTAGCTGCTTGCCTGAGTCCCACGTACCATGTCACCTCTCCCCTGTGTTCTTCAATATGCTTCTCCCCCAAATACGGAAATGTCCAGTGCCATCATCACACTTAATAAAATTAGTCACATAATAATCTCTTAACCCCCAGTCCATAGTTAAATTCCCCAGTTTTTAAAAATGTCAAGTTTGACTAAGTCAGGGTCCAGAGGAGGTCCGTGTATTACGTTGGGTTGTTATGACGGTTTTTTTTCCCTGTTTACTCCAAAGCAGTTTTCATCTTACTGCCCTGCTCTTTTTCCTACAACATTGACTTATGGCAGATCACTTGTCCTGTAGAGTACCCTCCTTTCTCACTTTGTGGTGGCATTTCACTTGTCTGTTTACCTCCTTAAAGAGGAAGTTGGCTCTAGAAGCTTAGTCCAAATCAGGTTCAAGTTTTTTGACAAGAATTCTTTGTAGTTGGATCACTGGAAAAATGGTGTAGTCTTTCCCCATCAGAATTTGAATGAACAGATTCATCCACTGGAGGTTATTGTCTAATTACTTGATTTTAAATTCTTTCATTTCGTTCACATTTAGTAGCTGGAATTCTCCTGTAAGGAACTTTTCTCATCTATAAAGTGGGGGAAATCATACCTGCCTAATGGGTTGTTATGATACTTAAATAAAGCAAAGGATGTGGAAAAGATACCACTCTTTCAGAGTGATCCAGCCATGGAAAGATCGATGGTGGCAGAAGAGGAAGAAGTGAGTTGCTAGAATGATGTTCTAGAGGAGATAAGAGGAGATAGGATCCATTGCACCAGGAAAGGGGTTCGTTTTGGTGAAAAGCAGGGCAGGGCCCTCATGGCAAGAGAACAGGTGTAGGTGGACTGGCAGGTATGGAGCCTGTGCCCCTGCCCCTCTGGTTGCTTCTGTGTCCTGGGGGAATGGAAGTGATCATTTTAGCCGGGGCAGGGGAGATTTGAAGAGAAGGATGAAGTAGTTGTCTATAAGAATGTGAATAATATGAGGAATGTAGTAGAGCTGCTGGGCAAACCAGGGGCAGTGGTGGTCATGAATTTTCAAGTGAGATTCTTTCAGCAAGGGCTGCTTCAGGGCCGCTGCAGGGTAAGCAGGAAGTTGATGTGCTAGGTTTGGGATTTTTCTGGAAAAGAGGGACAAAAGAGTTGAGGGCTTAACGAATCTAAGCTGGGTGAGAATGTACGTGATTATTTAAAGGAAAGTGGAAGGCCCTGACCAGCATGGCTCAGTGGGTTGGGCATTTTCCTGCAAAGTGAAAAGGTCACCAGTTCGATTTCCGGTCTGGGAACATGCCTGGGTTGGGGGCTTGTGAGAAGCAACCCATCGATGTTTCTCTCCCTCTCTTTCTCCCTCCCCCCATCTACCCCTCTCTGAAAAATAAATAAATCTTTTAAAAAATAATAAAAGCAAGTGAAAGGCTGTTCGGGTCAGTGGATTAAACGTCTAGTAGGGCAGTAGGTCTTTTGGGACCACAGACAGTGATTAGAGGGGCTGGGCTGGGAAGATAGGTGGTGGTGCTGGCTTGGGGTGAGATTCTGGAGGTGAGTGTGGTTACAGGTGCTGAGAGTGGCCAGTTGGAATGTGGCTGGCCAGATGTGCTGTGAGTCTAAGATATGCATCAGGTTTAACAGACCTAAGGAAAAGGAAAACTGTAAAATATATCAAAAATTTTAATGTTAGCCCTGGCTGGTGTAGCTCAGTGGATTGAGCGTGGGCCTGCGAACCAGACAATCGCGGTTTGATTCCCGGGGTTGCAGGCCAGTTCCCAGCAGGGGATGCATGAAAGGCAACCATACATTGATGTTTCTCTCCCTCTCTCCTTCCCTTCCCCTCTAAAGATAAATAAATAAAATATTTTTTTAAAAAAATTTAATGTTGATTACAGATTGAAATTATAATGTTTAGATATTAAAGTTAATTTTACCTTTTTTAATGTGGCTACTAGGCAACTGTAATTGTACACTTGAGCTGAGTTCTGTCTACTGTACAGCACGAGCAGGCTCATGGGAGATGGAGCTAAGCTAGGAGAGGGTGGGGTCCGAGGGGAGGTTAAGGACTGTGAGGTCAGGGAGTCAGAAGAATTGTCTGTCGATAGTGAATGAAGAGGCCGAGATGATAATAGGAGTCGTGTTGGGGAAAGAAATGGTGCACCAGTGCTAAAGTCTTGGAGGCGGGAGTGATGGGGTCTGTTGAGCACAGAGGGGTAGCAGGTGGTGGTCTCATCTGAGGGCCTGACTGTCTCCAGACTTGGGGGAACATAATGGTCTGAGAGTCCTGAGAGCTTTGTCCCTCGGGTCAGGGCTGGGAGGAAAACGGGGGTGAACTGGCTGCATAGCTCTGCTGGCCTTGTTTTAGTGTCCATCTCTGTACCCTAGAGGTAAGGGGCCCTTCGGTTATTGTGAGGAACATGTGGATCACCTCTGGAGTCAGGGGAGATGGTCAGGTCAACTCAGGGGGGACCCTGGATCACCACAGGGAGAGCCTCACAGGGCACTCATCTGCCCTTCTGTCCCTAGCTGGAGGAGCACCGGAACTCCCAGAAGCAGATGAAGCTCCTGCAAAAGAAGCAGAGCCAGCTGGTGCAGGAGAAGGACCACTTGCGCGGCGAGCACAGCAAGGCCATCCTGGCCCGCAGCAAGCTCGAGAGCCTGTGCCGAGAGTTGCAGCGCCACAACCGTTCCCTCAAGGTAGGCTGCCTGGGCCCCGAGTCAGCTGGTTACCTTGACTTCCATTTATCTTTGGTGGCTTTCCTCTTAAAAACTAGCACAGGCTTCAGTGTGGAAATAGGTTACCCTAGTAATGCTCTACCTTAGCAAGAACTACTTGCAACCATTTGACATGTACTTGTATTAGGTAAGGTAAAGGCTAAGGAGCAGCTCTGGCTGGTGTGGCTCAGTGGATTAAGTGCTGGCCTGCAAACCAAAAGATTGCTAGTTAGGGCACATGTCTGGGTCGCAGGCTGGGTCCACGGGGCAACAGAGCGCTATTTCCCACTCTTTCGCCCTCCCTTCCCCTCTCTCTGAAAACAAATAAATAAAACCTTAAAGGGGGGGGCGGTGCTAAGGAGCAAAGAGAACCCAGAGAGCAGGCCTTCAGGAGTTTTCAGTTCCATCACAGCTCCCAGGTAAGTCCAGCGCCAACCTGCAGCTCTTCTCCCAAAGTTGGTCAGTCAGGAATGCGGGTCCTTTATCCTGTTCTAGGGCGGGGTCGCTCTGGTTAAAGCCTGGTCACTGCTGTGACCTCCAGGTCATTTTTGTGCATATATCCTTTATATGTTTTTCAGTTTGGATTGGAAATATTTTGCAGCTTGCTTTCCTTGTTTTTAGTTTGTCTTTTAAAATGTTCCAGTTTTAATATAAATTTGATATAAGGGATTCAAAGGTGACAGAAACATAACAAATCAAAATAATTGTCACCCACCGGCCTGAACCCCAGTGCCCAGCAGAAAGCACTGGGATATAAACCTACTAATACGTGTTTAAGTGCAACCTTTTAACTTCTGTCTATGAATTAAATCTTATGTAGTTTTTAAAATGAAAGTATTGTACACGTATTGTTCCACGTTCTCCGCCGTAATGCCGTGACACAGTGCCTTCCCTTCCCTTTCAGTTCATATAGGGCTGGCTCATTCTGTTTAACAATACCATCATATGGAAATATTATATATTTCATAAGTGTTCTAATTTGGGTATTTTAGACTTTTTTCACTTTCTATATTAAATATGGAGAGCTTCAGTGAAAATTCTTGTTACATATGTGCCTGGCTGATTATATAGATTTTATCTAGAGGATAAATCTCAGCAGTGAAGTGTCTAGGTCAAAGAGTGTACAAATTTTAAATTTTAATAGATTTTCCCAGGTTGCCTTCCCACTAACAGTGTCTGGGTGCCTATTCTGCACAGCCTTGTGAACCCTGGGCATTACTGAATTTTACCTACTTGATTGGGGGTGGAGGGGGTCAAAGATGAAAGCATATTAAAACGAGACTACTCAATAGGTCTGGAAGAACAGGCTTTAGGAGATCCAGAGTTTTTAGAATGGCAGTTACATGTCTGCCTGCATTTTTCTAGAGAGAGAGTATCTCACTTGATGTCATCTGAGATACAGAAGGGTCCATTAGGAGCCCCATCGAATGACATCTTGGAGCCTGGCTACTTCTCACTGGAGAGCAGGGAGGGCTATCGACAGAGATCATTCTGGGTTAGTCGGGGGAGCCTTGTAAGGCTGGTGGCTGGGGAACAGCAGATGATGGAGCCAGGGCTGACTTCTCTTCTCAGGAAGAAGGTGTGCAGCGGGCCCGGGAGGAGGAAGAGAAACGCAAGGAGGTGACCTCCCACTTCCAGGTGACGCTGAATGACATTCAGCTGCAGATGGAGCAGCACAATGAGCGCAATTCCAAGCTGCGCCAGGAGAACATGGAGTTGGCCGAGAGGCTCAAGAAGCTGATTGAGCAGTATGAGCTGCGAGAGGAGGTGAGGTGTGCGGACAGCCGCCACAGCCAGGGAAGTGGGCGGTTCTGGGCGTGTGGCAGGCGACGGGACAGCGCTCCCCAGGCTTCCTTCCATTCTCTGGCTCTTCCTGCTCCTTCCTTGCAGGGGAGCGTTATTGTGCATCCTTGTGTAGACAAGGAATTGAGGTCAGGAAAAGAGAATGTCCCACAGCCACATGACCACAGATCCACAGTGTCGGTCCTAAATGCTAGGGCCCAGCATCTCATAGAATTAGAACTGTTCTACTGTTGAGATGGAGATAAGTTCCCGTTCTCTGTATTACACAGCATAACCACAGCCTGGCCTTGCTTCTGGCAACACCCTAAATCAGACACATTAATATTTATGCAATTTCAGAGTATACACACCTAGATCATAATTAGCTGTACAGAGGTACAGGTTGGGTTTGTCTGATAATTTTCGTTTTCAGAATTGCTGTGATTTTGAAATCACAAGGGAAGAGCAGGACCTGTGGTCAGTGATCAACTCTAAAGGCTACATCCTCTTGATCTCTTGCTGCTCTGCTGCCCCTGTCCCCAGAAAGGACAGGATGTCACTGCCTTGGCTGGCATTGGCTGCTTCCCAGGGCACTTGAATCACTCTCTTTGGTCCCCATGTGACAGTCACTTGTCTGTTCTGGGCCTCTGTTTCCTTGTCATGAAAAGGGAGACTGGCAGCTACCTTGTAGCTCTGAACCAGGCCGCTGCCTAGACCCTAGGGGTGTGGTGGTAGGTGATGAGTGGGCTGGGCAAGACCCTGCCTCCTTAGGCTTACAGTCCAGTGTGGCGGTCATTGTGTGCAGGGCCTAGAGGGGCGTCCCCTGACCCACCCCGTCTTTTCCCTATATCTTGTCCTCTGGGAACAAGGCTGCTTGTGACGCATTTGGTTTGAGAGGAGTTGGTCTGGTTCTTGTCCCTTAGCACTGAGAGACGTGGAGGCTCACTGAGCCACCACATAGAGAGGCACCTACTTCAAGAATCTGAGGACTCCCTTCCTCTCCTGCCACCCCGCACCCCCGCTTCACCCCAGGGCTCACAGTAAGACTTGGTCCTGCCTGCAGAGGCAGACGTGTGGGAGCCCAGGCCCTGTGCTCCTCATTTACACCCCGCCCCCAGTAGAGTCGGGCACTGCCATCCTGCCCCCCGAGCCTCTGGACTTCACATCACGGGCGACTGAAGCTCATCATGTCCCACACTGGACACATGCCCAAGCCACCTTCCCTTCTTATTCAAAAAATACATAAAATTCCCACATCCCACTTTTCGGTTGCTTTTACCTTTGAGGTAGCTCTTGAGTCCACCACCTTTGCCCTCTCTGTGTTCTCTCGCCCTGCCCCAGTTCTCAGGGCTGCTCCTGCAGTTGGGACAGCCGTTCCCCGGGATAGCAAAGCTTCACCCACAGGTAGAGCAGAGGTGGGCCAGGAGCTCTGCCAGTAGCGCTGCGCTGTTGTGTCAGCAGGGGTGTCGTTTTTGCCCTTTTTTCCTACTGACAGGGGAGTCAGGCCATAAAAGTGAGGGTTGTCAGCTGATGATTTGATCTTTCTTGCGGCTAGCGATTTAGATATTTTTTGTTTGGCTTCCTGGGAGCTGATTTCATCCACAAACCCCTGTGCTCACCCAGGACTGACTGAGTGGAAGAGAAATAGAGTGAGGTTGGGAAGCAGGCTCTCCAGGGACTGGGGACCCACGCGCTATGGCACGCGCAGGAGTCCAGCATGTGGGACTGAGGCGGGAGGCTGGTGGGGGAGCCTGTTGCCACTGGGCCTCCCCCAGAAAGGGAGTTCCTGATGGGTGGACCCCCCCACCATGCTTTCCTGCAGCACATCGACAAAGTCTTCAAACACAAGGACCTGCAGCAGCAGCTGGTGGACGCCAAGCTCCAGCAGGCCCAGGAGATGCTGAAGGAGGCAGAGGAGAGGCACCAGCGGGAGAAGGATTTTGTGAGGCTCAGGCCCTGGGAGTGGGGGGTCTTGGAAGAGGTGGGTTGGGTTCTGACTTAGGTCATAGTCAGGTTTTATGGGGAAAGTTGCTGCCTGGCCAGATCAGGGCGCTGCTTCCTCAGATACCAGTCAGAGAGCAGGAAGTCTCTGTAGGTTCTGACCTGTATGGCAACACGCACGCACGCATGCACATAAACTGTCCCTTGAGGCTTCTGACAGGGTCTGGTGTCCTGTCTTGGAAATAGCTCCTCAAAGAGGCAGTGGAGTCCCAGAGAATGTGTGAGCTGATGAAGCAACAGGAGACCCACCTGAAACAGCAGGTGAGACTGTGTGTCCTGACCCTGTGCCCCCAAGGTCCCCTCCCTGGGTCCCATCCTGGGGGGCAAAATGGGACCCACATTCTAGGACTGCTGTGTGACCTTGCTGAGTCTTTGTTCCCTCTGGACCCACCCGGCACCTGTGTGGTGGTGACCAGGTGGCCAGGTGGGCTCGAAGGGCCTCATTCCTAGTCGGAAGTGTGGTGCTGCTTTGGAGGAGGTGGAGACAGACTTTTTTTAATTTAATTATTGTTCAAGTACAGTTCTCTGTTTTTTACTCCCATCCCAACCCACCCCCAGATGGTGGCTTTTAATTCTATAAATTATACTGCATTCCAGAAAAAAACATTTGAAAACAAACATAGGTAGTGTATCTCTCCACACCACGCCCCTCTCCTTTCTTAGAAAGTGAATAAAAACTTTATTCTCTTTAAAAAAAAAAGGCAAGAAGAAAAGAAAGAGAAAACAAACAGGCAAAATCTGTCAGCCTGAATTCTCCTTTCCAGGCTTCTGTAAAGGAAAATGGTATCTCAGTAGAACTGTTGGGTCAGAGGGCCAAGGGCAGGTCCGAGTCTGTTGATGAGAAGTGCCCGCAAGGGAAGTTCAGACTTAACCTGTGGGCTTCTTTCTTACTCAGCTTGCCCTGTACACGGAGAAGTTTGAAGAGTTCCAGAACACTCTTTCCAAAAGCAGTGAGGTGTTCACAACATTCAAACAAGAGATGGAAAAGGTAACACTGCCCCAGGCTGGGTGTGGCTACAGGGACACAAACAGTGTCCTTCAGGATGGGGCACCTCACTGGGGGTGTTCACAGCCACAGTGTGATCGGGGCCAAGGGAAGGCTGTGAGGAGGGGTCACCGCCTTTGCCCCCATGAAGGAAGTGTCAGTGGTGTGGGCACCTTCCAGGTTTTCCTGGAGGAGGCTCTGTCTTGTCCATCCCAGTTAGGAGCGGTGGACAGTTAACTTGAGGGGCTAAGGGGGCACCGAAAGCACTGGCTGTGTCCTGTACGCCTTGCCTGCCCTCGTGGGACCATTACCCCACCTTGGCATCACAGATACAGATAGTCTTGCACCCTGACCATTTATTTCCTCTGTCTGTCATGTAACCCAGATGACTAAGAAGATCAAGAAGCTGGAGAAAGAAACGACCATGTACCGGTCCCGGTGGGAGAGCAGCAACAAGGCCCTGCTGGAGATGGCTGAAGAGGTGGGCCGAGTGCACCCTGCAGCCAGGGGCGGGGGGTGCGGTTACCAAGTATCGGGCTGTTTTCTGTAGTTCTGGGTGAGTGATGCATCTAGCGTGGAGTGGGGCCAGGTACTTTTGTCCAGGTCCAGGGTGCGGCCAGCTTTTCCCAGGGGAGGTGGTGAGGCCTACAGTGGAACCAAAAAATAAACTAAAGAAAGGAATAAAAGAGCAGGGGAGACAAGGGGTGCCAGTGATGTATGTAGTGTGTATGCAGTGGCCCTGGTTATTTGGCTTTGTGGCTTGAGATGTAAGAGGGTAAGAGTGCTGGGGCCCCTACTGCATCCAGACCTGCTGAATGTCTTCGATATGCCCTTTATTGAACCTTCCCTCCAGACCTGTGAGGTTGATGTTAGTAGACAAGTTTAACACATAGAGAGATAGACTCAAAAGCCAGATAACTTTGCCAAGATCATCTGGTGGATAAATGGAGGAATATATTGTCTCTAAGCCATGACCCTCCCCTACACCACACTGTCCTCAACTGACAGCTGGGTCTTGGCGTAAACCAGAGCTGTTTACTTGAAAGGAGCCAGCTTTGGACTCTAGTCTGTTCCCAGCGTTGTTAAAGTGTGAATGTTTTCTACCAAGTGGCAGTGTCAGGTGGAGGGTTGATGGCAGGCTCCCTTTTCTCCCTAGAAAACACTCCGGGACAAAGAGCTGGAGGGCCTGCAGGTGAAAATCCAGCGGCTGGAGAAGCTGTGCCGGGCACTGCAGACAGAGCGCAATGACCTGAACAAGAGGGTCCAGGACCTGAGTGCTGGGGGCCAGGGCCCCCTCACCGAAAGCAGCCCTGAACAAAGGCCAGAGGCTGCCACTGCGTCCAAGGAGCAGGGTGGCGAGGGGTCTGGGGCCCGAGCACCTAGCTCCCCAGGAGCCACAGGAGCTCCTTGCTGCCCTGGAGCACCAAGCACAGAAGCATCTGGCCAAACAGGGCCCCAGGAGCCCGCCTCCACCACTGCCTAGGGAGCCTGACCCTGGGGGCATGCTGGGAAGGGAGTGAGCCACCCAGCCAGGCCTGTCCTGTGCAAGGCTCCCACTGCTAAGCAATTCAGTGCTGAGGCCTAGGGCACTCTGACCTCGCTGGCATCTGACACTTCGCAGTTTTGGATTTTGTGGGTCAGTTTTACGTACATAGGACATGTGCAAGGCCTCGTACATTTATATCTGTAAGTGTAAAATAGGCTTGCATTGGAGGTGGGGTGTGTACAGATGAACTCAGTGGCTCTTCTGTGAGCTAAAGTGGAGCTGTCATCTGTGTAGTTGCCTTCACAGTGACCTGGCAGGACAAGTGACTTGAACATTTTCTGCCTGAGTTGAGGCTCAGACCCCTCCCTCCCTGCCCTTCAGGGATGGTAACAAGTGACACACCCAGGCCTTGACCATGTTTCTCTTGTTAGCGGGGCTTGGGCAGCTCTGGCTCTCCTAGCTCCCCTGGAAGCTCCTTGGCTATTCTTAACCCGGAGGGGGTCCCCAGGCAGAGCCTTGGCGGGGCACTCAGAGCTGGTGTTCAAACCACTTTCCTGCCCAGGACAGGGACCTGGAGAATGTTTCTGTGTGGAATGGTGCACTGGTAGGGAGCCCCTTGGGCACCGCTTCTCCTGCCCTCTGGCAGTGTCAGGACCAGGCCAATGATGCTTCTCAGTAGCCTTATCATTCACAGGTGCCTCTAGCCTGCACAAATGATTGACAAGAGATCACCCAAAGGATTCTTTCTGAAGGTTTTTTGGTTTTTGTTTCTGTTGCACGTGATAGTGTTTGTGTTGAGGACCTTCGGAGGGAGAAGTGCTCTATCAGTCGTGCCTGGGTTCCTGGCCTCTGGTAACCCCACCCTCCCCGCCCCACCTGGCACCTCTGTCCTGTTGGTGCTTAGGTTTCCCATCTGATGGAATCAAACTGTAGCAAGAGAAAGGAAAGGGCTTCTCATGGTCTTACCACAAGCACCTGTGTGGGTCTCAACCTGGAAGGCCGCCGCCAGTTCCCATCACCGCTGTCTGTGCAGCAGTTGCTGAGCCCCAGGGGATCGACTGTCCCCGCTGGCAGTATGGGTGTTTCTGCTTCCTGCCCTTGCCCTAGTGTGTAGTCCTTGAGGTTTGCTCTCGTTCTGTTGTCCAAGGAATAAGATCTGAGGTGTATCCTTGACACCCCACTTGTGTGGGAGCCCCAGCTCTCATCTGACAACTGATGGGTAAGAATGAGACTCAGCAATTGACTGAACCCCAGAAATCCACAGAATGACTGCAGATACTTATATCAGTCCTTCTCCCGTACCCATACTCCCCACCCCTTCCACGTCACCCCATACTCTGGAAGTTCTGTTGGCTGCACACTTGCTGGGGTGTCACCTGGTCTTTGAATAGAGCGGTTTTCTGGAGCAACACAGTCTTGGGTCAGGAAGCAAGGCTCTGCTGGGCTCGGGGTGCTACACTCCACCTCCATTTTCATACAGGCCCTTTCATCTTTCACAACTAGCCTACTCTTTCAGCCCTTAAATCCCTCTCATAAAATAGGTTCGTGAAGTGTTAAGTACTCCTAAACCGTGTTCTGACTTAGACCAGAGATGGCAAATGCAAGGTACACCATTTCTTCTCTGACCCCATAGTAGGTACCACTAATCTGCTTTGGAGTATTTCCTGCTCATTCCTGGTATTTCCTCCTTTCTCATGGTTTGCTCAGCAGCCAGTATAAGTGCTGAGACCTGTTTACCATCCCTGGCTAAGATACTGCTCTCCTGTGGAGAGAGAAGTGTTTCCTAAGGTCGTCTTCCCCTCTGAAATGCCTGTGTCTAGAATGGTCCCTGCCCATGCCTCTTCCTGGTCCAGTAAGGCTCTGTCCCCCAGCCTCTGCCAGGCTGAGGTACATGAGAGCCACAGCCCCATACAGGGTTTGCTGAGCTATGGAAACAGGGAAGAGGCAGAAGCTCCCACCTGCCCCCTTTATAGATCAGGTAGGCCTGCAGTGGCCCGTGTGATTCCCTGCCTGTTTCAGCTACCTCTTAAAGCCTGTGGGGGTTAGTGGGGCAGGGGCTGTTGGAGCCCAGAGTGGTGGGGTGGGAACTTGGCACAGCAGCCCTCTGAAACCAGGTCTAGCTTTGCAGAGCTACAGTGAGCAAGGCGGCCCCAGCAGGACTTCCCAGGTCTGAAGTAATAGGCCCTGGGCAGGGTAGACAGCACCTTTGCTCTCAGCTCTGGGCATCCTGGCCGGGCATGGGTGGGGACCCCATTTCTCTAACGCCATTGACCAAATCTTAATCACTACAGCTGCTCTGCTTGCTCTGCTTCCAAAGTCAGCCCAGGCACCTGGGTGCTACCCACGCCAGCCAGGAGCCTGGTCCTGACGCGAGGGAGGCGGCCTCTGGGAAGGCCAGCGCCTTCCTCACTGGGGTGGGTCCCGTGCACATGACCTCAGTTGTAGGACCAAGAGCCGTGCTGGTTTCTTAGACTGCTAGCTTTTTCTCCAGGGGCCCACAGTGGGCAAGGCTCATGGCCCAGCGCCCTTGGCTCTGCTGAAAGTGATTCGTGTTCACCATGTCGGCTGAGAATTTCATGTGCACCGGATTCTGAGAGGTGTCGCAGCACTTTTTTTAAAATTTGTGTTTGTTTTCTGTGAGGTTTTTGGACCACAGGTGGGGCTCAGGCACTTTTCTGTAAGAGAATGTTAACGTCGGTGAAGGTGGTTATTTTCCCTTTCACCCCATTGTGGCCCTGCTGAGGGCTGACCAAGAGGCCAGTGGGGCTGCCCTGGTGTCTGTGGGGGAGGGCCGAGGCCTGCCCAGCTGATTCTCCAGCTGCTGCTCAGCCCTCCCACCGTGCACAGTATAGAGGGTCACCCCAGGGACAGCCAGGCACCTGCCTGGGGGTGGGGTGCTGCCATCTGTCCCTATCACTGCTTCCCTCCTGGCCCAGCTTGACCTCCCAGATTTGTTTGAAGCTGTGCTGACAGCTTTTTTTTTTTTTTGGTCTCATTTTGGTATTCACAACAGCCAGGGATTTGATTTTGATGTATTTTAAACCACATTAAATAAAAAAGTCTGTTGCCTTACTATTTCTCTCCTGACTTTTGTGGTCACTTGGTGCTTCGGGATCCATCCAGTCATCACTGATTTGCTGGACCTGCTGCCAGGCCTCCAGCCGTGCCAGGACCCGGATCTGCTGAAGTGCCCTCCCTTCCTGCAGCCCTGGGTTCTCTGGAGCCGCCTGAGTGGAGCCCTCGGCAAAGTTGGCACCACTGCTCATGTGTGTATGAGCACCGGAGGTGATTTTCACTCAGTCAGAACTCGTCCCTGTCCACCCCACCCCCACCCAGGGCTCACAGGCTGCTGAGGGAAAAGGGGCTTTGAGATGTAGAAAGGACGGCGGTGCTGTGGGACCAGGAGGGAAGCCTGTACCTTCAGCAAGGGAATAGGCATGGACACGTGGAAGGGCCTGTGGCGCAAAGGGCAGGCGGAAGTGTGATCACTTCCTTCAGTTAGTAACTGGTCCACCTCGTGATGCAGGTGCACGGGAGCGTGGTGGAGGCGATGAGGCAGGGGCAGATAAATCACCAGGAGCCTGTGTGCCAGGTGAAGAAATTTGGGCTAGATCCAGAGGGCAGGGGGACAGGTAGAATCCAGGAGGAAGGCAAAAAACAAGGACAGCCAAAATGTAGTCATACGCCAACTGAGGTCCAAATTAAGGTGAGTGGACATCACTACTCTCTGGGGCAGCATCTTCTGGCCCTGGCCCACCAGGGACCTCCAAGTTCCTTTGGTTTTGGGCATTCCTTGACAAGACCACATTCTGCATGCAGTTCTTAAAAGTAAACTGGGCACTGGCTGGTGTAGCTCAGTGGAGTCAGCGCGGGCCTGGGAACTAGGATCGCAGTTCAATTCCCAGTCAGGGCACATGCCTGGGTTGCAGGCCAGTTCCCAGCAAGGGACACGAGAGGCAACCATACATTGATATTTCTAAGCCTGTCTCCTTTCCTTCCCCTCTAGAGATAAATAAATAAAATCTTAAAAAAAAAAAAGTAAACTGGTTTCTTGCCCTGGCCAGGTAGCTCAGTTGGTTATAGCTTTGTCTGGGTCCCTGGCCAGGGCACACAGAAGCAGCAACCAATGAGTGCATAAACAAGTGGAACAACAAATTCGCTCTCAAATCTTTTTTTTTTTTTTTTTTTTTTAATGAACTGGTTTCTTAAACACTCCTGTTCACCCACCCCAAGCCTCGGTGTAAAAGCTGAGGATCCTGCTCTGGCCAGTGTAGCTCAGTGGATTGAGCACAGGTCTGTGAAGCAAGGGGTTGCTGGTTCGATTCCCAGTCAGGGCACATGCCCAGGTTGCAGGCCAGGTCTGCAGTAGGGGACACATGAGAGGCAACCACACATTGATGTTTCTCTCCCACTCTTTCTCCTTCCCATCCCCTCCAAAAATAAATAAATAAAATATTTTTCTTTAAAACTAAGAAAAGTTGAAGATCCTGTGTGGCAGTCATCCTGGATGGCTCGCTCAGCGCCCTGCTCTCTCTGAGGGCTGGGCTGGCACGAAGAGCCATATGTGAATGGCCAACGAATGACAGACAAGTGTCTTTCCCTCCAGCCCTCCACAGGCAGACGTGTCCACACTGGTGGTGACAGTCCCCATAGAGCCTCTGCCCCTTCCAGTCAGGGTCCTAATGCAAAGATATTTTTCTGTGCTGGCCACATTGTTTCCGAAGGTCCCTGGGAGGCCGTCAGAGGAGTCCTCTACAGGCCTGGAGCTCTGAGCAAAGCAGCTCCGAAAGTCTCTTTACCTTAGCGGTGCTCCAGGCCCTCTGCCACTCTCCTAGAGGGGCCCTGGTGCCACTTTCTAGCAGTTCTGGTTGGGGAGGACAGCGGCTTCTGGGTGTCTTCTCTGCCTAGGCAGGCCCCTCCCTCAGATCCCTGCTCGCTGAAAAAGTCCTCGGTTAATGTCCCCCCCTTCTGGAATACGGTGCTGGAAGCACCAGGAAGAGTTCTGCTGGCCAGGAACCTGCGGAAGCAGTGCCTGCCCCTCCCTGGCTCGGCCTGAGGCCCAGGCCCAGGCCCTGGGAAGCAGGCCCCTGCCCAGTGGTAGGGGAAGGGGTGGGACAGCTGTGTGGCTGCTCTGTGGGAGTTATTTGAGACTGTAGGGCAGCCTGGCGGAGAAAATGCTTGTCTCCTGTTGCATCAGATGCTTCTCTGAGGACCTGAGCTGGAAGCCTAGGCCAGGTCTTTAAATAGCTGCCCCATTGATCTGCCCCCTCCTCCCACCTGGGGCAGCACCAAGCAGCCCAGGGTCAGCCTCCCTCACCCGCTCAGATTTCCCGGTGGGAGGGGAGCAGATGCAGTCAAGCACCGGTAATCTCGCGAGTTTCCACTCACCTGATGCTTTTCACAAGGGTCTCCTAGGCCTGGGGTGGGGAGGGGGCGGGTTTGGTCCGGTCACTTCCTCAGCCACCGAGTTCAGCCCCCAACGCTCACCAGCGAGGAGGTGTCTGGTCAGTGGGAGGAGCATTGTTGCCCTGAAAGACTATTGTAGGCTTTCGGTAAAATGAGACGATGACAGTGTCTTCTGTCAGGGTTGCCGAGGGTCAAATGACCATAAAGTGCTTAACAGGAGACCTGGACTCACCTGATAGATGTTTGTCTTGAAGTTTCTTCCTGCTGCTGCTGCCACTTCTGTACTTCTTATGTGCTGCTGTTCTTTTTCTCTCTCTTCTCCCTCTTTCCATTCTTCTTTCTAACAAAGCCACCACCATTTTGTGAGACTGTAGTTTTTCTCCAAAACTGATGGGAAAGGCAAAAAGGTTTTGAGATGGCCATCACACAACCATCAAAGTCACCTTGTTCAAGTGAGAAGGCGAAGTCATGAAAGGGACAGCATAATAAATGTGGGGACGCTTTCCCATCTTACTCCATCCCCAGCACTAAAGGTCACTTTCTCTTTAAATGCAAATTACCTCCCGCCAGCTAGGCTTCCACCCCTTCTGTTCCCAGTAGGAGAGTACTGAGGGCGGAGGAACACGTATCTAAGCATCACTCCAGACCCCAAACCTCCAGGTCAGTTGCCCCGAGGGAGGAGGGTGGAGTGGGAGGGGAGGGGGGCAGCCATTTAGGATCTTGGTTCCCGAGCTGAGCGATCCCTTTGGCACATGGCTTAGGGAGTTGAGTGTGGGAAATAGATCCCAGGTCGTCCCCAGCGGTTCCTGGGCAGCAAAGGCTCCCACTCCAGTTCTTCTATCAAGTCCCTAATTGGCCCAAGCCGCCGCCCCAGGTCTCCCCTCCACCACACCCCTCAGTGCCAGCCGGCCTGGTGCCAATTTAAAGGCTTATGCCCCCAGCACCACCACCATCCCAGAGGGCAGAATCAGGCTTGGTGGCGGCAGCTTGGAAGGAGCAGCTCTGGAAAACCCCCAGAAAGGGCCCCCAGACCTCCCCGGGGAGGGCGCCAGCAACCTGGGCTTGCAGGCAGGGTCGCACTGGAGGCCGAGCGGTGCCAGTCACAAGCCAGCCATTGTCGGTCGAGCCAAGGAAGCCAGCTGCTGCCCACCACCCACCCTAGCTGAACCCAAGCAGGGACTTTCTGAGTAGGGAGGGTAAAGCAGCTGGAAACATGTCCCAGGGAACTTCTGGGAGTTGCCTGGTGTTTGCGGTTGGGGATGGGGGGAAACCCACTCTGAGCCCACCCTACACACTATGGCTCCTCCCGCTGTTAGCCATCCTCTGGTGGTCGGTGCTTGGTGTCCTCACGCCTCAGTCACCTTCCATGTAGATGCTCCCAGCATCTGCCTAGGCAGTTGATAAATAGCACAGTGCCTGGCTAAGACACCCCTAATCTTTTTGAGCTCCTGCCAGCTCACATCCATTGTCCCTTCCTCCACATTTCCTCGGTCAGCTCCACCCCTCAGCTATTGGGGCAGGAAACTCCAGCAGCCTCAGGAGAATCATATGGGGTGCAACCCTTTCAGGTGGCATTGGAGGGCGGGGTGGGGACCTGAGTGGGCCTCCAAAGGTCCTTCAACTACAGATCCATAACCCCAACCCTAATGGGGGTAGGGAGTTGGCCCTGGCATCTAGCCCTGCCCGTACTGGACAGATGAGGGGACAGAGACCCTGACATGTTAAGGGAGAGTTGGACAGAGGCCCTTTGCAATTCTCAGGGGATGACGGGCGAGGGGATGACTTTGCCCCTCACATCTCAGTGGGGCTGCCTCCCACACAGGGCCTGAATCCCAGCCAGCGTCAATGGAGGACAAGAAGAAGAAAAGGAGTCCCAAGCCCTGCCTGACCCAGCCTGCTGCAGCCCCAGGAACACTCCGCAGGGTCCCTGTGCCCACCAGCCACAGTGGCTCCTTGGCTCTGGGCCTCCCACATCTGCCGTCCCCCAAACAGAGGGCCAAATTCAAGAGGTGAGTACAGAAGGAAAGTAGGGCAGGGAGGGAGGGACCCTAACTCTGGGCTGAACCCTATGGGCAGGAAGGTAAAGGGGGTCTTAGCCTGTAGGTACTAAGCAATAATTGACACCATCCCTGGGCTTGACCCTGAGAACCCAAATGCTCAGACCCAGGTCCTGTCCTCAAGTGTGTGGGGAAAGGCCAGTGTGGTGACACCCCTCACAGCAGGGAGTGAGTGAGCAGCCCAGCCACCAGGAAGTCAGAGTCAGAGGAGGCTGGTCAGCACACTGGACAGGGAGAGTGTTCTAAGGGGCTTGCCTAGCACACGTGTGGGAGAAAAATGCCGCCTGGAAGGTTCAGGGAACCCCAGGTGCTTTGGTGGCCCTGGAGTGTGATGGAGGAGTAAATGGCGAGGAGATACTCAGGTATACAACTCAAATTCCTTGCTTAATTTTTTAAATTAAATGTATTGGGTTGACATTGGTTAATAAGGTCACATAGGTGTCAGGTGTACATTTCTGTGCTGCATAGCCTATACATTGCATCGTGTGCCCACCATCCATCCAAAGTCAAACCATCTTCCATCACCATATATTTGGCCCCCTTTACCCACTACTACCCCCACTTCCCTCTGGTAACCACTATGCTGTTGTCTGTGTCCAGGGGTTTCAGTTTTATATCCCACCTATGAGCGAAATCCTATGGTTCTCAGTGTTTTTTAACTGACTTATTTCACTTAGCATAACATTCTCAACATCCATCCATGGCTTAATTTTTTGAATGATTGGGAATCTGCATTCTACCCTACAAGGGGTCTGTGTTCATGTATGTTCTTTCCCTGACTGCCGTGTTTTCCTATGGCTTTGATGCCCCCCGCCTCAGGGGCATGTTTTGGGACAGCCACTGTGAGCATCGAGGAAGCGCAGGGCTGGGGCAGGAATAGGAAGGAATGCAATAGGAGAGTGGAGGTGGAGGGTGGGCTGGGCTGGGAAGGTCCTTAATTGTTATCCTGAGGGCACTGGAAAATTCAAAACAGTTTTTAAATAGAAGAGGGGCAGAAAGATATTGTGGGGAGAGATAAGATGGCTCTCACAGCAATAAGGGAGTCCTGTCCCCAATTCACTGAGGACCAGTGAAAATAAGTGACTGTCACAGGAAGAATGAGTGGGGGTCAGACAGGAATCTAGGAGCCCCTTGCTAGGCAGAGCTCTGGCTGTACCAGCAGCAGAGAAAGACATTTTGACTCCTTACCCTTACCCCCTCCTCACCCGTTCCCTTCCCTTTCCCAGTCCTGGTGTCCAGGGTGGGGCCACAAGAACAAGCATCCATTTATGTTGGAGAGTGGACAGGAAGATGCATCAGTACATAGACAGCACAAAAGACCTAAGGGTACCTCGCTGCCTCCACCCCGTGACCTTGGTCATGTCCACCCCCCAGGGTAGGCAAGGAGAAATGCCGCCCAGTGCTGGCTGGAGGTGGGGCTGGCCCTGCAGGCACCCCACTGCAGCACTCATTCCTGACTGAGGTGACTGACGTTTATGAGATGGAGGGGGGACTGCTGAATCTGCTCAATGACTTCCACTCAGGCCGGCTGCAGGCCTTTGGTGAGTCCTGGGGGCTGGGCTCAGAGGGCGTGTGGGTGGGGCTGGAGGACCTGGTCTCTGGTGGGCGGCAGGGACCAAGGCCCCCGAGTCGCTCCCAGGGCTCAGTCAGGTGCTGTCCAGGGAAGGAATGCTCCTTCGAGCAGCTGGAGCACGTGCGGGAGATGCAGGAGAAGCTGGCCCGGCTGCACTTCAGCCTGGACGTGTGTGGGGAAGAGGAGGAAGAGGAAGAGGAAGAGGATGGGGTCACTGAGGGGCTGCCTGAGGAGCAGAAGAAGACCATGGCTGACCGAAACCTGGACCAGCTGCTTAGCAATGTGGGTCAAGGCTGGGTGCTTCGGTTCCCGGGGGCATGAAGGGGTGGGGGAGGTACATGCTCCTAAGGCCATTACTGGTCTCTCGGTGAAAAGCTGGAGGTGCATGAGGTTGAGCTCTGGGCCCCTCAATCTCCACCAGAAGATGGCACCCAGAACATCTGGGGTTCGGCCTGGTGCCTCTCCTGACAGGGAATTCTCTTTCTCTCCACAGCTGGAAGATCTTAGTAATTCTATGTATCCTTTCCAGGGGACCCTATAGTGTGTACGTGTGTATGTGCCTCCCAAAGATGATGTCAGTTTCCTCTTCCCTACCGCCATCCAGGGATATTTACATATAACCAACATCTCCACACCTGTGTCCCACTGAGTCAGAATCAACCACAGGCTGACCCCACCCAAGAAAAGGAGTGCAGGAAGACTTTCCCAAATATCAGGAGACAGCTGGTTGCAGGAAATACGTTTTACCTCCGTATCTAAATCTTGGCAAATACTTGAGCTGACGCTAATCCATTGCAAAGCTTCACTAGTGGCTTCCTAATCTTTCAGCACTCAACAGTCATTTTCACCGGTTTCGATCACTAGTCCTAGTCAGAAGTGGTGCGGATGCAAACGCCTGTATGATTTAGACCAAAAGGCGATGGGGTAAGCCACCTAGCAAAAAGGGCAGGCGAGGACTGCAACCTCAGACCTCGGACCACCCGAGTCCCTTGCGCAGCCCCTTTCCCCAGTTGGGGAAACAGCCTGCGCGGGACGGGAAGGCCGGGCTGAAAAGACCGGTCCAAACAGCTGATCCTTGACTGGAAAAGACAGAAACTGCACCTGGCGGAGAACGCGGAACCTGAGGAACAGGCAGCTGTGTAGATGTCGGACCCAGCCAGGCCCAGCCTGCCCCTTCTCATTCCCTTCAAACTGTGACTTTTTACGAACTCGACTGTATATTCCGCAGCCCCCCAGGTGCTATGGGGAGGGGGGCATTAGATGGAATTAAACTACAAAGAAAGAAAGAAAGCGGCTCCGTGACCTCCGTCTCCTCACTGCGTCTTTACTCTGCTGGGGCGCCGCGGCCTCGGCGAATACACCCCTGCGCGGCACACTTGGCACACCTTTTCGGGAATGAAGCTCCGGGAGTAGGGTCGGGCGCCCAGGGCCTCCAGCCTAAACCACGTGAGGCGGTTGCTGGGAGACGGCGGGGCGGGGCCTGCGTTGGCCCGCGCGCGGTGCGGACTAATGACGCACTGTACAGGCGCCGGCAGTTGGCTCCCGATGGAGCGGGAGCAGTTGGTGCGGAAGGTGGTCTTGTTGCAGGTGCGGGGAGGGCGGAGGGTGCACATGGTTACCCCCATGGGATTTCGGGCTAAGACCTTCCAACGAGATGAGGCTGTCACGTTTAGTTACCTATCCGCGTGCCCACTTCTGCAGGTACCAACCCGTCCCCACCGTGCTAAAGAGTGTTGGCACTCACGGACCCTGACCCCTGACCCCCGACCCCCGCAGTACCAGCACCCACCGCTCCCACCACACGCTCCTGCGGCAGCGTGGAAATGGTAGCAAGGGCCTTAAATTGAAGAAAGGGACACAGTCCAACATGCTCCCTTGAAGCCCCTGAGCCCCAGCACAGTGCATCACTTACCCTTTTCCCGTGGCTGGGTCCTCTCTTGCAGCCACTGGGATGACCTCCCCAGGAGAATCTGTAAAGACGCCTTCACCTTTGCAATCATGAGGGTTTTCTTTCCTCTCCTTTTCTATACCAGGCCTGCGTCCGGGGTTTCCTGGCCCGACGCCATTTCCAGAGTCTACGGGCTGAGTATGAGGCTGTTGTACGAGAGCTCGACGGTGATCTGGGCACGCTACAATGGACTGAGGGCTGGATTCCCAGACCTAAGTTTCTCCCACAGGTAGTATACATCCTAGGGGGAGGAGGGACCTGGGTAGGGCATTCGAGGGAATGGTAGAATCCACCCTTCTTGCTGACAAGCTTTTCTCAATGGAAGAGGCAGCAGACTTCCTCACACCCCAATCCCAAATCCCCACTAACCTGTAAGCTAAATCATGGCACTCAGGTACTTGGAGGGTTTAGCCCTGGGGTTCTCATACCTTTCTGACTGATTGCTCAGAAGGCAAAATCCCATCGGACCTGGAAAGCCAGAGAGAGGGTACCAAAGCCAGAACAGGAACCATGGAGCTGCTTCTCACGTAAGGAGCCTGAGAGAGAAGTCATCCCGGAGGAGATGGTGCTGAAGAAGTCAGGAGAGAGCTCGGCAAACTCAGACAGTCTTCCCTGCAGAGATGACAGCCCGTGGCTTCGGGATGAGCAGAGCAGGAAAACCGGGAAACCCAACCAAGAGAAGATCAGAGATATGTCAAGGATGGAGAACCCAGGTTCATCTCTGCTAGATCAAGGCAAGCGCTGATCTTCTCTGGGACTCAGCTTTCCTACCTGAAAAGTGAAAGGCTTTTTCTAGATAAGCTGCATCCTTTTCCTTCTTCCTTCTGCCTGGTTGAGTGCAACTCATGGGCAGGGGAGGGTCCCAGGGTCTTCTGCTAGGCCAGCGCCCCATGTCTACCCCTCAAGGCTTTCTCTTTCTTTCCTCCTGCCTTCACAGAAGCCGAAGGTCCAGGACTGCCCCACAGGCCAGCTGAGCTCCAAGACCTCCAGTACCGCCGCAGCCACTTGGCCATGGAACTGCTCTGGCTACAGCAGGCCATCAATAGCCGTAAGGAGGTAAGCACTAATTTGGAAGCCTCTGTGCACATTTAGGGCCAAGGGTGGCAGTTAGAGAGACACCTCCTGCCATGGCCACACACACCTTCCCAGTACAGTGTCTGTTCTCTTCCCCAACAGTACTTAACTCTCAGACAAACACTGCAATCCCCAGAGGCGAGCCCAGACCACAGGGGACAGGCCTGTGAGAGAGCTGGCTCACAACCAGGCCCACCACTGGAAGACCAGTGCTGCAGAGCCAGAACCGCTGGAGAGCCAGGCCATGCAGATGCCTCTTGCTGGAGGCTCAAGTCACAACCCCACAAATCCCCAGAAAGACTGGCCACTACAGACAAAGCCACTGTCAGGAACAAGTACAGGGACTCATGTCGCAGGAGGGCTGGACCACAGCTGCCCATACCATCAGATAACCAGACCATGGAGAATAGACTCACCAAAGAGCCACACCATGGGGACCAGACCTTTAGAGGGGCCTGCCTGCAGCTGACAAAACTTCGGGAGGACCAGACTCCTAAAGGCCTCAAACCTAAGGGTCCCTGTTCTGGAAAGGCCAGAACACAGCTACCCACGCTCCATGTAGACCTGAATACTGAAGACAGGTCTCCCAGAGGGCCAGACCACAAAAAGCTGGAGTGCCAACGAGCTAGGCCACGAGAGTTGGGCCTCTCAGAAGACCGTGTCATCTGGGATGGGACTTCAGCAGAACATGATGGCCAGGATCTCTGGAAGACTAAACCACCCAAGGGCCAGACCGCCTATAATAACAGCTCTAGAGATAGAGCTTCCAAGGAGCCTAGCTCTGAAGGATGGAAAAACCAGAGGACTGGATCATGGAGATCAAGGCCATCTGAAAAACTGTCTTCCACAGGGTCAGACAGCATAGAAGAGCACCACTGGAGGGGCAAGCTGTGGAAAACAGGACCACCAGGCTAGTCCCTGGGGTGGCGGAGGTCCAAGGGCTGTACAAGGGCAAGGAGACGGGTCCTCATCCTCAATCTCTGGTACCAGCTCTACATCCTGCCCCTCCCTTGGTGGCCAGTGGGGCCAAGAAATGCTGGAGCAAAAGGCTGACACCAGTACAGGGAGAGGAGGGAGAAGGACATGCTTTCATCCTCTGCCTGTGGCTCAGTGCGAATTCTGGACAGGGAGTTACTGGTTAAGTGGGAGACCTGATGGAGAATAAAGGTATTTCTTGGATTCTGAGCCTGGTTGCATTCATCTTGTGCCTGTGGTAAGGACAGACTCGGGGCCTTCCCATCACTTCTTATAGGCCTGGGGTACCTGCCCCAGAGCTGGCTGGGAGCAGACTCCTAAGCTGATCCTCCTTTGAGCTCAGTTCTTGGGCTGTGGAGTGGCAGGGAGTTTCTGAGAAGCCCTCCATCTATCTGGTACCAGACCACCCGTATTTCAGAGTGCTCTCTGACAGTGCCTCTCTCACTGGGCCCCAGGGTCTCCTTACACCCTCTCTACTCTGGTGAGGCGCCCCCAAGGGCAGATTGAATGAGATCCTGACTCTAGTTAAGTGTCCCTGCTGCGGCTCTCCCTGCATTCCTGAGATGGCAGGCCTCCACCTCTGATTGGCACTGCTCCCAGGCCTGCCTTAGTTGCCTGACAACAGCTCTGCGTCTCTAGCTGAGAACACACCATGGCAGCCAAGAGGGTAGTGGTATACCGGAATGGGGACCCTTTCTGCCCAGGCCGCCAGCTGGTGGTCTCTCAGCGCCGCTTCCCCACCATGGAGACCTTCCTCAGTGAGGTAACATCAGCTGTGCAGGCCCCAGTGGCTGTGCGCACCCTCTACACACCTCGTCACGGCCACCGTATCACCAACCTGGCCGACCTGCAGAACGGAGGGCAGTATGTGGCTGCTGGCTTCGAACGGTTCTGCAAGCTCCAGTGAGTGGGCTGGGGTTGGGCAAAGAGCCTAGGGAGGGAGGTAACAGCAGTGGCTCGTGTTCAGTACTTGTTACGTGGAGGTGCTTTATACGCTGTCTCGGAGGGCAGCAACCCTGCAAAGGGGCTGGTCTTGCCCCCATTCTTTAGAAGGGGAAATCAAGACAGTGGAGTTAAGTAACAAATAGTGGAGCCAGAGTTTAGGTTGAAGTCTGACACTAATGTTCATGCTCATCACAGCCAGGACCAGCCGGTGGGAAGGAAAACACTCTGCAGGCTGAGCCCCTACCACGGGCTCTTCCTAACTGGGTCCTCTACCACCACCAAACACGCTGAATTCATCCACCACTGCACTCGGCCCCGTCTAGGCATCCCGTGCTCAGCATTAGGCCGGGGTCATTCCCCTCTGCAGATGGAGCTGTGCCTTCCAAGACAGGAGAAGAATTTGGGGGTCTGAGCTCCTGACTCAGAGCTGGCTTCCAGGCCCTACTGGGCTCTCAGCTGAGGTTACCTGCTGTAATGTAAGAAGCAAGGGGTTGGAATCTGGACAGACTTAGAATGTGGACTTTGTCACTTCTTTGGGTGAATCACTCTGAACTCCATACTTGAGATAAAACCGCCTACCCCATGAATGAGAAAATTTCTCACATCAGTAGGGTACTTAATGAACTAGTTTCAACCTTTAATCTTATGGTTTGTGTCAGCCTAACTCAGGACATTAAGGTAGGTTCAATCGCCAGCATCTGTTTCTGGACTGAGATGACTGGAACTGTTCCAATGGGAAGGGATGAGCTAGACCCTGGCCCCAAATTCTGGCAGCTACCAGGCTCCCCAAGATGACCTGTGATCTACCTGTGCTTTCAGCTATTCACCCTCTGGAGGGAAGGATCGAGGTGGGAAAAGCAGCAGACTACCTGTAAGTCTTCCCACTCCTGGGATTGCGCCCAATTTGGGGAGCCAGGGGCCCTAGGAAGGGCAGAATCTCTGCCAGTCCCATTGGGGGCAGTCTCCACACCTACTCTGGAATAGCTGGCATGCTTCCTGGGTGTAAGATCTCAAGACACTCCCCCCTTGCTCCTTTCCCACCCTTTTACTTTATCTCTAGGCTGTGGTCCCCAAAGAAAGAGGAAACTGTAAAACGCATGGGGCAGGGGTGCTTAGAATGGGACTTAGGTAGTTCACAGCATCATTTGGTGAGGATGTGACTAGTATCATCCCTCCTTGCCCCCTCTCCTGCCCCCGTCTGATTCCTTCCCCTCCCCTGCCCACTTGGACTGATCCACTCCTGACCAAAGGCCTCAACTCTTGCTTGACTTGGGTTTCAGGGTCGTCCCGTGACTCAGCACCCAGGCGACAGGGCCCTTGGCCGGAGGCTACCTGCAGGTTCCCCCTGCTATATCCAGTAAGTGCTGGCGTTCGGAGCAGGAACATAGAGTTTTGTCTCAGTGAGACCAAGATGTGAGTAGGTTTGTTCCAGGAGCCCCTGGTCCCTGGGTATAAGAAGTCCATCATGCTTGATGGGTGAAAATGGGCCAACACACTGGTTCTTGAACTGCCTTCCGGCCCCTTTCACACGTAGGAAACTCTGGGGATCCTTTCCCTTACCAGGCTGCTCTTTGTCCCAGTGTGTTCAGGAATGGGGACCTGCTAAGTCCCCCATTTGGCCTGAAGCTGTCCCAGGCTGCCAACGAGGACTGGGAGACAGTGTTGAAGCTCCTGACCGAGAAGGCCAAATTACGGACCGGGGCTGTGTGCAAGTGAGTGTGGGGCCCGGGGCTCCCGGAGTCCAAAGGGAGCCTCCTTACTGGTTCCGGCTGTCCTTACAGATGACAAGGCCAAAAGAAAGCACATGTCCCCAAGCGGGACTTCCCTCTGTGCCGGGGGAGAGGCTCCTCCAGCCCAGTTCTGGGAGCCAGGGCAGAGCCAAGGTGACCGGCCCTGGTGCGCAGGGGGCCAGTGGCCTTGGAATAGCTGTGCTCACCCCTCACAGTCTGCCAAATATGAAGAGCATCTTGCCCACCAGTCTTGTTCCGCTCACCTCTCTCCCAGACTCTGCACCCTGGAGGGGCTCCCGCTGGCAGCAAGGGAGGCACTGGTGAGTGGACGTTACTATGTGGCTGTTGGGGAAGATGAGTTCAAGGCCCTCCCCTATCTGGAGCTGCTGGTGCCTAGTCCCTCGTTGCCCAAGAGCTGCTGGTATGTATGTGTGCCGTGGGAAGGGTAGCTGGTTAGAGCAGAGGAAGCCACCTCAACTCCGCGTCCTCCTCTGTCTACTACCAGCCTTTTCTTTTTCGTTGCAGGCACCCCCGAGACCCAAAGCCTAGGCCCCACAAGCAGGGGGTAGGTGATGTGAGAGGCCAAAGACGGCAGGGAAAGGGACAGCGACTGGCTGGCTCCTCCTGCAGCTCGGGCTCTGTCCTGACCTCACTGCATCTTCTCAATAATCTTGTGAAAGAGAGACTTTTTTTTTAATTTTAAGAGAATGTTTATTTAGAAAGTTAGAGAGGTAGTAGACAGGCCCTTGAAGCTTAGGAGAGAGAAAGGCAGAGGTAATGCACCTTGGGGAAAGAAGAGGTAGAAGGGAGAGGGCACCAAAAGAGATATTATTATTCCTGTTTTCCAGAGGACAGACTGAAGTTCCAAGGAGTGAAGTAATTTGCCTAGGGTGACACAGTTATTGAGTGGCAGGGGCCAGACCAGGATCTGGGCTGGAAGTCAGCTCATCCCGGCTCTGTGAGGATCTTCAGGACTGATTGCCTGGACCTAATGCTTTCTTGCCAGGCTCGAGAAGCTTATCTGCCCACCCTGCACCCCCCCCCCCAACATCTTAGGTCAGATCTCTCCTATGAGATGAGCCAGTGAGCATGTGGTGCGGGGGGAGGGGTAGGTAGGGCGATGTGACAGGATTACCCTGGGCTTCTTGAGCACCAGGCACCAACTGCTCTGTCCCTGGACAAGGCAGCCTGATGGGAAGAGGGAGCAGGGAGGGAGGATGCAGCCTGTGAAGACGGACAGCTTCTCCTCTCAAAGCTCCCATGGGCACCAGGGGTATTCACGCCTGGACTGGGAGTAAGAAGGTAAGAACAGCCAGTGCCCATGGCCCAAGCTCACTGTCCCATCTACAGGCCCATGGCCATGGGGCACAGGTAGCCCAGCCTTCTCCAAAGGAACCAAGCCAAACTGAAATATCTGCTTTCTATGCCAGACCCCAGCTGGCCACTCAGCCAAGAAGCACCTTGCCCACTTTGTCATTTCCATCAGGTGAGGGGACCCTGGGACCCAGGCGCTTCCCAGCCACCTTCTCACTCGGACACAGGATGGTCCCTGATGTTGCGGGGATGGTCCACGGGGGCAAAATGCCCAGGGACGGAGGTGGCCCAGACCTCCGCTGAGCTGTCTCCTGTGCACAATACCCAGTTCCTGGCCCCTTTACAGGGACTTGGCATGTGAAAACAAGCACATGGAAACTCAAGGAAATAAGACTTCAGGGGTAGGGCTTGGAAGAGATGGGGATGGGGGCAAAAGCCTGCTTCTGAACTACCCTGCCATGCTCCAAGGTACCGAGAAATGTGGAGCAAAACTCAGGGGAAGAGGCTGACAGAGGAGGTCAAGGGAAAGAGCGCTGAGCGCTCCTCAGCCTGGGCATCAGCTAATGCTGCCCCTCTCATCAGGAGTCAAAGGAGTGTACAGGGCCCCCCACCCAAGAAAGGAGACAGAAGGGGCCCAGGAAGTAGCAGATGATGAAGACACCTGGACAGAGGAATCTTTGGATCAGGTGGGCTGGGGCTGGACACATTATGTTAGGACAGGAAGTGTCTTGTCTGGACAGAAACTGTCAGCCCTGGGTCCCAGGGACAGTTCACCTGCAACTGAGCAGATCTAACATCTCAAAGCCCCACTTCCTACTGTGTTAAGTGGAGGGCAGATCCTAATTTCTAAAGTCTCTTTTCTTCCTGGTGTTGGGAGACTTGGCTGAGGGCTGGAGGCTGGAGGTGGGATGCTAATGGCCCACCCTGTATGGCCTTCCTCCTACTGCAGAGGGCGGCACAGGTAGTGGAAGAGGCCCTGGAAAACCAGCCTGGGGCTGGGGCAGCTGTCTCAACCTCAGCACCTGCTCTGCCATCTTGAAGGCCAGCATCCCAGCCAATAACTGGGGACTGCCACTCTGCAGCCACATCTTGTCCTCAGCCCCCAGCAGCCTATACTGGAGGAGGAAGTGCCTCTCATGGGCCCACAGGGTCCTTCAGCCCCCTCAGACCCTCCCCAGTCTTCTGCTCCTAAACCCACAGCCCAGTCTTCCTTTCCTCTCTGAGCAGAGCAGCCCTAACCACAGAGGTCACTTCCTATGAGGTTCTCTGGCCAAAGAAAGGAATAGCCAGCTGAGCGTGGGGAAGAGACCACAAACTTAAGAGCAGGTCTGTCACAATAAAAGAATACTTACTAGCTTCCGTTTGTTTACTACAGATTTATTACAGGCTACTACTTGCCAGGCATTACGCAAAATGCCGGAGTTGGGCAGTGCTGGGGCTCACAGGTGTCTCTCTGTTTGAGGGGTGGGCTGTTGGGGATTGCCACCCACCCCATGGGTGGGATATGCAAGGCCGGCAGCCAGCCCCTCTTCCCTACATCTGCCATTCTGATGCACCTTCCTCTCCTCAGTTTCCCCCACCGCCAGCCAAGGTTTCTGACTGGGTCCTGGAGGCCTCCTGTTTGCATTTCTGGCTCAAAGACTGGAGCTGGCCCCATCCATGTAGCTGGGGTTGTGCCACCCACTGACCCCGCTGCCGTGATAGTCCAGAGCAGGTCAGAGTAACAGTGGCTGGGCTGGGGGCCTGATGTGACCGCAGGGAGAGGGCTGCTGCAGCAGAAAGGTTGCTGGGAGTGAGTGTGAAGTCCATTGTGCTAGGTCCTAGCCATAGATCAGCTCTTGCAAGTTACAAAACCCTTTCATTCTTGTTCTCTTATTGTGATCCACGAGGTAGCTATTACCCCCATAAGAGAGGAGGAAGCTGAGGCTCAGAGTGGGGAAGTGCTAAGTCCATCTGCTCACTGGCTGCACCCTGTGGCCCAACAGACTTCCTGGAGACGGCAGAGCTGGAGAGTGGCGCTGGCCCACTTAAAGGGCAGATGGTTGTCCATGGGTCTTGTTCACTGAGCTTGTGACGCAGAGTGTAATTCCGGCAGTGGTGAGCACCATGCCTGCTAATGTTCCTAGGATAATGGGTAGAATTCAAGTGGCTGAGCCCAGCGGCGCCAGCAGAGCTGGTGCAGGGCTGGAGGAAGGTCCTCTCCTCACCCACCCACAAGAGATGGCTCTGGGAAGGAACTAACCCAGTAGCCGCTTCCCATGTCTATGGTGGCCTGACTTACGTTTTCCACCAATATCTTCTCCAAGGACCTTCCCGACAACCAGTGTGAAGACGATGGACAGAGAGTTACTGATGGGCACAGCTAGGGTCAGATCTGAGCGATCACATTGAAAAGAATTACTGCGATGCAAAAAAATGCCTTTCCAAGCACAAAACACTTTCATTTCATCATCAGGAGGGCCTTTTAAAAAGATCCCTAGTGACCTCATTTCCCAGGTGAAGTCAGGTGTCCTGACTCCAAACTCAGTGCTCGCTCAGGGCTCCAGCATGAAGATCCAAACTGCAAAGTTTTGAACCACCCTGCTTTGCTGCTAAAAAGAGACCTTTGCACTCAGGGAGAGCTCCTGAGATCATGGGGACATCAGGATGGGCAGGCAGCCAAAGCCCCAGGATGCAGCAGAATGACCACAGTGACACCAAACACCACCGCCATCCACTGCACCAGGCACTGTGTGTGCATACCGCATTTAACCTGTGTAGCCACACAGCAAGAAAAGCATTATCGTCATGTGCATAAGTAAGGAGATGAAGGCTCATATAAGTCACATAAACTGAGGCAAATTGAGGACTCAAACCAAGGTCTGCCCGACTGCAAAGCGGCGCCCTTACTGAACTAATGGATAGGAACAACTCAAAACAGTAGGTGGAGCACACTGGGTTTCAGCTCAGGCTCCGGCCTCCTGGAGTTAAAGAAGAGAAAAAGATGTCAGAGGTCGGAGGCTGGTTATTCATTCAGAAGAGGCCTCACAGGGCTGGACCTCAGGTAGAGGTCACCAAAGCCCAGATTTGCACCTTAGTTTTGAAGCTCCAAGGAAGCGACTCCCAATAAACAAACTTGGAAAAGACTAATGGAGTTAACACTGTTAAAGTATATTACACTTAAATTTTGTACACTCAAAATTTGCTGAGAGGGTAGATTTCATGTTAAGTATTCTTACTACACGCACACACCCCCAAACAAAACACTAAGGAATAAGTCAGAAGCTGAGTTACTTGTTTACAAGGCAGACTCACAACAGCCAGGAAGACTCGATGCTCATGCAGGCTCCCAGCACATTCTTTCCCAGCACTCCCAGGCCTCACCGCTTCAGGTAGAGGAGGGAACTGTCTTGCTCCTCATCCCCTCTAAGGCCCCACCATTCCTGGCATTACCCACCCAGGACTGTGACACAACTCCTATTAACTCAGAGATGCTTCCTTAAGCTCACACACCTTCCACTGAATGCTGAGGCTCCTAACCACTGGTGTGCAATGGTGGGTGGAGAAGGGAGCCACTGTGGCCAGTGGAAGGGCAAGAACACTACAGTGAGGCAGACATCGGTCTCCGTCAGTAATCTTGGTTAAGTCACTCAGACACTCTGCGCCTGTTCCCCACACGTAAAACAGTGAAAGCAAGATAACATCTCCTTACAATAGGGTTGCTGTAAGATGAAATACAATAGTGCATTTATAGTCCCTGGCTGAAGCTAAAGGAAATGCTTAACAGCGACCACAGTTCTGATTATTAGAATGGGTGGGTGTTAAAGGCCAGGAGCCGAGTCGGTGATGAGAACCGGGGCCTAAAGCTGCAATTTGCTCAAAACTTGGTAAATGGCTCAGTGCAGTCAGCTGGCCAGAGGCTTTCAAACTTTCTCTTAAAAGAAGCACTATTGGGAGCCCAAAATGTAAAACAGATGAAAAGTAGAGTGACTCTAGCTGAAGCCGAGGCAGCAGGTCTGGAGGTTCCCTCCCTTCAAGTCCCTGGGGGGCCTGGGTGAAACTCTGAGGCAGCCGGGGGGGACGGGACTACAGCCGGGGGACTTCTCATAACAGAAGCATAAACTTTAGGTAATTCATGGCTTCAAAAACTTCTACACTGATGTAGGCCTTAAGACGGGTGAAACAAATTACAAAATGAGCCTTCCTCTTTCCTCTGCTGCTGCACAAAACTGCCAGACTTGAAAGCAACTCCAGTGCCTGGCAGCGTACTCACAATCAGCCCGCTGGGCCTCTGCAGCTCAGAGAAGGCGCAAAGGGAGACGGCGGGCTCTCCTGCACTCGTGGAAACAAGGTGTTACAGGCACCCGCCCCAAAGCGACTCTTTCAGTGGCCTCCACCACTAAGCACAACTGTTCTAAGCCCAAGACCCACCTGTTGATGCCAAGGTGAGGTAGTAGAGAAGGGAGCCACACTGATTGAGGAAAAAGGGCACCAGGTACTGGAAACAGAAGAAATATGAAGTCAGTGTGATTGCTTGGCTGAGCAGCACTGCCATCTTTGAGCTCCTAGAAATGCCTTGCCTCGGAGGAATAGCTACAAGGACCCACGGAACTAAGCCCTCTGAAAAGGACCCTTCCAGGGCAGGGGGAACTTACTAAGTGAACTCTCTCTTTGCCCGGAATGCCCTCTCCCTCGGCCCTGAATGCCAATCTCACTCCCTCCAAGAAGCCTTTCTGAGTCCCCTGGCTCCAGCCTGCCTCCTCTGAACTCATGCAGCACTTTACCTGTGCCTCTCCTAGCCCTTAGCCCTGACAGGTGGCTGTGTCTGACTTGTCTTCCCACAAACCTAGACTGGCAGCCTTTGGGTCAGAGGTAGTTCTCCATATCCTTCCTTATGCTCCCTCCCCAGAAAAATCTGAGCCTCAAGCCCTCCCTCGGGAAAGGTCTGTTGAACTATCATAATAAAAATACTAAATAAAAGTCATAGGTTGAGCACTAATTGTGTGCTAGGCCCAATGCTAAGTTATTTATGGGCTTCACCTCAATGTTCACAACTGCGCTTTAACATGTTCACCACTATTATTCCCATCTTACAGATGATGAACTGAGGCTCAAGGCAGACAAGTGACTGCTCCAAGAGCCTTCAGTGCGTCAGTGGCTGGGCGCAGATTCTGCCCAGACCTTTTTGACTCCGGAGATCAAATTCTTATTGGAGAGGTCATTCACAGACGCACCTCGATATTCAGGAAGAGAGTCTTCATCTCCTGCAGCAACTGCCGGACCCAGGTCCGCTCGTGAACCGGCTGCAGGTGGGAGGAGGCCCGCCTGAGCAGCGGCTGTGTGCCGCCCCACAGAGCGGCCACAAGCACCAGAGCCAGCACCTGCCCTGGATGAAGATGCGAGTGACCCTCTCCCCGCCACCAAATGGCAATTCGCCGGGCCCGCCAGCCTCCAGCCTCCCATCCCCAGCGAGCCGCCTCCACAGCCCTCCTTCGCCTTCCGATAAACTGGGGGTTGGATCATGGGAGATGGGTCCAAAAGCCCGGGATTTGGGGTTGTGGTAGGGGTCTGAGTTAGGTGATGGAAACGGAGTAGGAAATGAACTCTGGGATATGGGGATCTGCGGGTGTGAGAAGCCCACGGAGGGTATGGGTAGCCTACACACCGAAAGACGCCGCCATGGCAACGCCGGTCCCTTCCACTTCCGGGAACGAAAGGGCGGAGACCTACAATCCGGAAGTGGTTCTGAAGCCTTTTCCGGTCCTGCTCACGTTTTTTTCTTTCCTGGCATCACCGCAGGGATGGTGAGTTTCGCAGAGTTGGAGGTGTTACCGAGGGGTCCGGGGCTGGGGCAAGGGCCGATTTTGGGAGCTGACACTCTCGTCCTGTTTCCACAGAAGCCGATCCTGCTGCAGGGCCATGAGCGGTCCATTACTCAGATTAAATACAACCGCGAGGGAGACCTCCTCTTCACGGTGGCCAAGGACCCTGTGAGCATCGCCCAGAGGGCGGGGCGGCGGGACCCTGCCGAGGGGGCCTGGGAGGGAGCGAGTTCTGTTTGCCAGGGTGATGGGTAGACAAGGCAGTTTTGCCGCGAGAATCGAAGAGCGCCGCACTCTAAGAAGTAGGGAATGACCATCCCGGAGGTAGGTGGGCGAGAGCATTCTACCGGGAATGGTGGCAAAGAACTCAATTGTTAATAGAAAGGAGTAGTTGGGAAGAAGAAAAGCATGAGGCCTCTGTGGAATTGGGGCTGGACTGGGGTCAGTTCGTTCAGGGGGCCGGAAGGAGACTATTCTGGAAAAGAACAGAACTATTCTATCAGGATAGGGAAGCAGACCAATTTCTGGAGGGGAAAGCTGAACTCTGGACAGCGAGAGATGCAGAGCATTTAAGGAAGGTGCCTCTGGGCTCCTTTCAGTCAGTGCTTCTGGGCTCCAGCCTGCCACTCACCGACTGCAAACAGTCCCTCACACTAACTACCTTTTGAAGTACCTCCATATGGAGAAAATGAACTCCAGTGGCTTACAGCAGGGGCTCTGAAGCCAAACAGATCTGATTTGAATCTTGACTCCTGCATCCACCAGCAGTGTGACTTCGAGCATGTCATTTAACTTTTCTAAACTTTTAGTTTCCTGTTTTATAAAACATGGGTACTAATAGTACTTCCCTCATGGAGTTGTCTTTAGGATTAAATAAGATCATTCAAGTAAAGAGTAGAGCACAGAACCTGGTGCGTCTGAGTGCCTAATTGTTAGTCACTTACACTTTAAATTCCTTAGACATCATTTTATTGGAATAGCCTCACAGCCATCCTTTGAAGAAGGCATTGTTGTGGCCGTCTTTTACAGGTGGGAAACTGAAGTTAAGAGTGGAGAAGCACCGTACCTGAGCTAATACAGTGAGGCAGCGGCAGAGCAGTGACTAAAACCCAGGCTGTTCTGCTACTGACAGGTCCCCCTGGCACAGGACACCAAAGCTCCTGTTTTCCTGGACTTGCCCACAGCTTGACCTTTTCTTCTGCTGAAGGTGTTGTAGTCTGCGGGAGGGCTGGGACAGAGGCAAATGGAGACATTTTTGTTGGCCTTCTGACTCCCCTGCTACTTCTCTGCAGGTAGTGGGAGGATTCAGGAGTTAATCTCCTTTGCCAGCAAGCTGCTATTTCCCAGGAGATGCTCAGGAGTGGGCAGAGGACCTGGCTAGAGGCTGCTGAGGGTTCCTGAGGCAAAAATAGGAAGCCATTGCTCTGCCTGGGTGTGTTCTGCCCTGTCACACTGTCTTTGACCCCTCTAGATTGTCAATGTTTGGTATTCTGTGAATGGCGAGAGGCTGGGAACCTACATGGGCCATACTGGAGCTGTGTGGTGTGTAGACGCTGACTGTATCCTTGTCTTTGCTCCAAGTGTATGTTCCCAGGGTCTGCCAGCAATGGGGAGGCTGTTGACTCGGAGCTGGGAATCTGGGGTGCTATTGCGAGTCCAGACACCTACTCCCCTCCCCTCCTACTCCCCAGTCTGCTCACAGGTTGGGAGGACATTTAGGACAAGTTCGGTTTCGGTTGATGAGGTTAGAGTGCTCTGAGGTAAGGGAGGAAGGAGGGCCCTCTGGAGCTGAACAGGGAGGTATTTAGTTGGGCTCAGGTGAACTTGGTCGTGTTTCTTAACACCCTCTCCAGGGGACACCAAACATGTCCTCACCGGCTCAGCTGACAACAGCTGTCGTCTCTGGGACTGTGAAACAGGTAAGCCTGGGTCGTGCTTTTCTAGCAGACAGTGAGGACCTACAGTGTACTGTTGAAGCACATAGGGTCTGAGGAAACAGAGGTAAGTCCAGAGATGGTTCCTCCTAGTCTAGGGAGCAAGAAACAGGTGAGAAAGTAAAGAACGCAGATTAGAAAGGTGGCAGGCCACATCGAGGAAGCATAGAGCACTGCAGAAGGCCAGAGCCTGCCACGGAGACTGACCGCCTGGAATGGGGTGGGAGCAGCCCAGAAAGATTTCCCAAGGCAAATGTCACGTGGGCCGAGGCTTAAAGGATGAGAAAGAGGTCATCACTTTGGCACATGCAGGGATGAAAGCATGGCAAGTGTCATGTCCAAGTCATCTGATCTGACAGGAGCTCCTGCTTCTTGGGGAATGAAATGGATAATGGAGCAGATGAGGCAGAGGCTAGGACCAGAACAGGCCTTGAATGCCAAACTCAGGAGCGAGGCGTTCTGCAGTACTTGGTGTGCTGTGGGGGTCCCTGAGCAGGGAAGAGTGGTGGTCTGCGTTAAATTTCCTCTTCAGATTGGGTAGTAGTGGGGAGCACTGAAAGAACTGAGACTAAAGATGGGATTCTATATAGCTGCTCAGTTTAGTAAATATTTACTGGGCACCCAATTCTGTGCCGGGTCTATGCTGGGCACTGGGGACAACCAGAGAAATTAGAACAGGTCTTTGCCGTAGTGGAGCACATTCTGAGAAGGAAACAGTTGTCTTGCAGTCCACTGTGAGCAGTGCCACATTAGCAGGCTGTCCAAGGAGACACCATGGTGAAGAAGTTCAGTGACTTGAGCCAAAGCATAGCAGTGAGGAAGAGGAGGGTGGCAGGTTGGAGTCACTAGGCAGGAGAAACAGTGAGACATGGTGACAGGAAGGTATAGTTTCCCTGTGCGGCAACAGGCAAGGAGTAGCCCAGCCTCTCTCTGCCCCCAGGGAAGCAGCTGGCCCTACTCAAGACTAATTCAGCTGTCCGGACCTGTGGCTTTGACTTTGGGGGCAACATCATCATGTTCTCCACGGACAAGCAGATGGGCTACCAGTGCTTTGTGAGCTTCTTTGACCTGCGGGATCCCAGCCAGATTGGTAAGGGCTGGGCCTAGGGCTGGGGTTGAGGTGAAGGGTGCATCCCCAAAGTCCCAGGCCTGACGTCTGCTGGCCCACACAGACAACAATGAGCCCTACATGAAGATCCCTTGCAATGACTCCAAGATCACCAGTGCCGTTTGGGGACCGCTAGGGGAGTGCATCATTGCGGGCCATGAGAGTGGAGAGCTCAACCAGTATAGCGCCAAGGTAAGGGGCTGTGTGGGGCCTGAGCTCCCCAGAGTGATTTCCTACAAGAGGCAGGATTGCACAGTGGTTAAGAGCGAGGACTAGACTTAAATACAGATTTTACCGTGGTTGAGCTATGTGATCTTGGGCAAGTTACCTAACTTCCCTGGGCCTGTTTATCTGTCAGATGTTACAAGGGTTTAATAATAATTAGATGTTTGAACCGTGGCTGGTGTGGCTCAGTTTGAGTGCCAGCCTGTGAACCAAAGCGTTGCCAGTTTGATTCCCAGTCAGGGCACATTTCTGGGTTGTGGGCCAGGTCCCCAGTTGGAGGCACATGAGAGGCAACCACACATTGATGTTTCTCTCTTTCTCCCTCCCTTCCCCTCTCTATAAGAATAAATGAATAGAATTTTTAAAAAATAGTAATAATAATTAGGTGATTGAAAAACTTGTCACAGAGTTCTCAGGGTCTGTCAGTAATGATCACAGTTAAGTATTTTCCTGCTATCCCTGAGTTCCAGGGCCCTGCCCCAGGGGGAGATAGTCTGGCAAACAGCACAGGAGTCAGGTTGCAAGTTGTGCTACCACAGAGGTCTCAGTCAAGTGCAGGGAGTGTCCTCTGTCACAGAGGAGGTGGCACATACATTAAGCCGTGTACAGTGAGTGGAGCTTCACACAGGAAGAGAAGTACATCACGGGCAGAGTTAAGGGCGGGTATGGGTTCTTCAGGAAATCTGGTATCACTGGCACGTGGCATTGGGGAAGGTGGACAGGGATTCTGAGTGTGAGGAGTTAAAGAGTGATTTTTTTAGACAGTAAGGAGTCTTTAAATGGTTATTCATGATCAGATTTCCTCTTTAAAAAGCTTTTGCAGGCTACAGTTTGGAGAACAGACCTGAACTAGGCAATAGCCTTGGGGATATGGAGTGCCTAACAGTCAAGAGATAATTAAGGGTGACTGACAAAAATGAGATGGATGAGGGAAGAACGGGTATAAAGTCCCCGCTGTCGGAGACTTCTGATTCGGGCAATTGCTTTTCTCGGGAATGCTGGGATGTAATACTGGGGTGTAATACCATGAAGCTTAGTCACTCACTCAGCAAGCACTGACCGTGGTCCACTAGGCACCAGGCCTACCCACAGGAAGGGAACGGGAACCAAGGTCAAAAGCGTAAATGACGCTTGATGCCAGCAAATAGAACTGATCTGTGCCCCCAGGTAGGCCGGACCGCAAAACTGGTTCATGTTCCCCAAAATGTAGGAGCCAGATACATCCCTACCATGTTGATGGAGAAAAAAATACATTCCTCCCTCAGAATAGGTAAAAATAAGAAAAGGAAATGAATACTTTTTATTTAATTATTTACATTGATCTTAAAGAAACACCAATTTGTTGTTCCACTTATTTATGCATTCATTGGTTGATCTTGTACATGTCCTGACCAGGGATTGAACTTGCAACCTTGGTGTATCGGGACGACTCTCTAACCAACTGAGCTACCCTGCCAGGGCAGGAAATTAATGTTTTCTGAGGGTCTACTGTGTTCAGATGTTTACAGGACATAGGCCAGGTGCTTGTCACAACAAAGTCAAATGAAACCACACATTTTGGACAGAATGTTCAATGAGTGATTAGGTTTGCAGTATCTTCACAGTGCACCGGGCAGTGGGCTTTTAGCAGTCTGGTTTTCTAGACAAACTGAGGCACTGAAAAGTACTTGTAGGGACAGACTCAACTCTGCTCTTTCTACGACACAGTCTGGTGGGTTGTGGGAAGGGAAAGCAGATGAAACGGCCCTTCAAGAAGACGTAGGAAAAGGCGGACACGCAGCAGGGCCCCTGGAGTGTGGTCCAGACCCTGGTGGGGAAGAGGGATAAGCTCAGGCGCTCTGCCTCTTACTGTTGGCATGCTCTCCGAGTCATGCCGCCTCTCTGAACCTTAGTGTCTTCCTTTTAACATTTCTGTTCAAGGATCCACTCCGTTGGATAATCGTGAGGATTAAATGAAGGAGTTGTTAAGTGCTTAGCCCATTGCGTTGCAATTAGTAGCTGTACAATAATATTTGTTGAAAACAGGAATAAATGGAAACTGCTCTACCATTGTTATGTGGTGATTAATGAATAGGTCCATGTGTTCTCCTAGATGGACCGGCAGTGTTTATGAAACTTGTGCATACACGGGCCAGGTTAGGATGTAGGCTTGGGCAGGGAGAGGGAGTAAACGTCAGTTCAGGGGATATTTGGTCCCCGCCCAAACACCCCGAGCCCTTGATGGGACAGGAAGCACTCTAGACTCCTGGCTGAGGAATGGGGCTGGTGGGATTGGGGCTGGTGAGAGCCTCACTCTTCTTCCTCCCCAAGTCTGGAGAGGTGCTGGTGAATGTTAAGGAACACTCCCGGCAGATCAACGACATCCAGTTATCCAGGGACATGACCATGTTTGTCACAGCATCCAAGGACAACACAGCCAAGGTGAGCCTGGGCGGGGGTCTAGCAGGGCTGCTCCCACGCTCCTGCACAGCCCCTCGAGGTGCCTGACTTCCCCCAAGTAATTTCCTTTTACAGATCCCTCCCCACCCGCCTTCTCTCTCCAGCTCTTTGACTCCACCACCCTCGAACATCAGAAGACTTTCCGGACGGAACGTCCTGTCAACTCAGCTGCCCTCTCTCCTAACTATGACCATGTAAGTGCGTCCCACCCAGGCTGCCTGGTAAAGCATCCCTGTGCTTCCAGAGTCCGGATGTTTGCCTAGCAGTTAAGACAGAACTCTGGGGGAAAACAGTGTCTGGCAGAGATTCCCCGAGCATCAGCGAGGCTGGACAATTGAAAAGCCCCAGGAGTAGGGGTGGCTCAAGTATCTTTGTCCCCTGCCCTACTGAGTACCCTCCTAGTCCGATGTGGGAGACACTAAAAGTTTATGGGGTGAGGGGAAAAAACAGAAAATGGGTTTGTGTGTCCTTTGAACCTGCCTAGAGTTCCTTCTTCCCTTCAGGTGGTGCTGGGCGGTGGTCAGGAAGCCATGGACGTAACCACCACCTCCACCAGGATTGGCAAGTTCGAGGCCAGGTAACGGGGGAGAGAGCTCTTCCACACCCACACCTCATGGCGTGTCTTTCGTGATGGACACAAACCACGTAACTAAGGAGCCAGATTCGTGGCCCTCCTGTGACAAGTGTGTAGTGTAGCAAACAGTTAAGAGCATGAACTCAGGCTCACTCTGGCACCCTGGACACATCATTGTATTCCTCTGTGCCAAGTTATCCTCGGCTGTATTATGGGGACAGTGATAATATACGTATCTCCTAAAATTGTGCTGATTAAATAAACGAGTCAGTACTGCCCAGCTCTCAGCGCTGCCCAGCACATGGGAAGAAGTGTCAGCTGTGTATGCAGGCAAACGTTTGGGCCCAGTCCCCCCTCACTTAATGTTCACCCTCATTCCCCACATCCCGGTTTCCCCACTTTATAGTCTGTGCTGGCAGTGGTACCTCCAAAGTATTTTGGAAGGAGGTGGAGAGTAAATAAATCATCTGCCCCTTATCACCACCCTTTTTCTCTCCAGGTTCTTCCATTTGGCCTTTGAGGAGGAGTTTGGAAGAGTCAAAGGTCACTTCGGACCTATCAACAGTGTTGCCTTCCATCCTGATGGGAAGAGGTAGGGCCGGGGGGAGGGAAAGGGAGCGGGGCTCAGCCAGGTCTGGTCCCTGCCCCACAGGCGCACCACCCCCACCCCAGCCCTTTCCCAGGCCCTGCCCCACGGCCCGCCTCCCCCAAGAGCAAGCGTCTGACTGGTCCCTGGCTCTCTCTTTCCAGCTACAGCAGTGGTGGTGAAGATGGTTATGTCCGCATCCACTACTTCGACCCACAGTACTTTGAATTTGAGTTTGAGGCTTAAGAAGCTGGATCTCCATCCTGGCCAGGGAAAAAGTTTCTGGGCCGGGGGCTCACAGAAACTTTTGGACTCTGAGAAATAATAAATTAGTTTGGAAATACATGTTTCTGGTCAGATTTTGTGGGGTCTGTTTAATCATTTTCCCTTCTCAATGTGACACCCCGGTGAGCTGATACCTCTATTATTTGGACCTCCCTACACTTGGGACACTGCAAACCTGGAACTTCAGTATTATGGACTAGGGCTGGTTGCAGGCACCCTCTTTCAAGGTCCAAGGATGCGGGGGGGCCTAGAGGGGTCTCAGGAGCATCTCGGCCACTCTGTGAGACGCCAGCACTTAGGGCTGGGGCTCAGAGGCTGAAACCACTGGCGGAGGGTCTTTGGTCTTCTCATCTGTCACTATTTGCCACACCTTCTCCCATACTGCCTCTGAGTGCTCAGGTGGGCGGGTCTGGCGCAGAAATAGGCCTGCGGAGGAAGAAGAGGACAGGTAAGAAAGTTGAGGGAGAGGAGAACTCCCTGGGGGGGGGGGGGCGGTGGGGAGGGTCACCTTGCCACAGTCGCAGGCTCTGGGGCTCCACAGAAGGCCAAATGGCCAAAGGATTGAGTACGTAGAGTGGGTTCCTGAGTCTTCGCTGCTCTTTTGACTGGTTGAGCCCAGACCACAAGGAGTGCGTTTGAGTTCTGACTTCACACAGGCATCTGGAGGGAGGGAGTTTCCACATTCAGCTACGGGCTCTGGGATTCTTAGTAGGGTGACAGCCACCCTGGGGCAGCTATAGCCTCTCTTTCCTGCAAATGTCACCGCCAGCCAGACTCTTTACTGGGCACCAGGATAAAGCAGAACCAGACCAAGGCCTGGTTCTTAAGGAGTTCCACTTGGCCTTCCCTGAAGGTGTCAGGGAAGGTTAATCAGGCACCATGCCATTTGCGCTGGTTCTAGTAGCAGAAGTTTAATAGGTGTTCACTTAGGAGGAGGAACTGCAGGTGCAAGATGGAGAAAGTGGAAAAGAGCCCCACGTGACTGTTGATAGGTCAGAACTGGTGAGTTTTTTAAAAAAAACGGATAAATGATGAAAGTGGAAATAATGACAGCAGTGTGGAATGTGAGTGGTCCACAGGGGAAAGAATGTGAGTTTGGACTGCGGTTGGTCCCAAAGAAGGGGCCTTTGACAGGAGAGGACTGGGCTAAGAAATTTTTAGGAGAAGAATTGCAAAGGATGGGGGCAGGGAGGAGGTAAATAAGACAACGACTTCTAACCTGGATGACCCATGAGTGGGGTTAGTAAAAACAGCGGGTGGTGGGCTAGGCAACAAAAGGTAACATCTTCCTGGAGAGGACTGAATCCTCCCCACATTTGAGTCTTAAGAGAAAAAGACGGCTTTTTGGGACTCACTGGGAGCATATGCAACAAGCCAACGGAGTAATAAAAATAACCCACTTGTGAGCCCACTACCTGCCAGGCACTGTACGTAGCACATCGCATGCTTCAACTCCACTAAACCCCATCCCCCGCCCCCCATAGATTATGGCTGTGGTTACGATCCTCTCTTCGCTACTGATGCGTAAACTCACTCAGGTTTGCTTCTGATTATCCAGCAGGTGAGTGATGGAGTCCGAATCTGAGCCCAAACAATTGGATGCAGCTTTCGACCTCTATTGCTTCACTAGAATCAACATTAATGTGGTAAAGAGCCCCAGAAATGATTTCTTTTTGCAGCAACTTTATCTTTCAGTCCTTGTTTTTAAGCAAGGGGTGCAACTGCTCTTGACTGTGGACAGCGTGGGTAGGGCCAAAGGACTGGCCTTGGACCCATCCACCTCTGGGTTAAGTCAGGGGAATGAGTGAGATATGGAGGTAGGAAAGCAGAGGACACCTGGAGTTTTCCTAAGAGAGAAACTCATCTGAAAGGGAAAAGGGTCACATAAGGAAGTAGGGTGCTGATGCAGAAGGCGCCTGACGCTGTCCTGTGCCTGTCCCCTGACCCACCTTAACACCCCCATAGCTCACCTCTCCTTTTCGCTGTTGCAGAGGAAGGTGCCGAAAGGGGAGGCATAGGCGTGCTCAAACAGTGCCAACAGCAGCCCCTCCCCAAACTCCAGCGACAGTGGGAACTGGCGGCCCAGCTGCCACACACAGTCCAGGAAGAGGAGAAAGGTGGGTGCCTCGTGCTTGGGGCGGGCGTGGGAGAAGGCTGAGTGGGCACAGCGCAGCTGGAAGGGGTGGCCAGCCTGAGGAGGGGCAGAGCAATGGGCGTGAGGAAGATGGGTTTTGGGATGGAGGGGGAGGGCTGGGCTGGGTGGCCACTTACCTGGATCCACTCCCGCTCCACCAGTTCCTGGAATCCAGCCATGGTCCGGCTCAGGGGGTCCAGGATGAGTTGGGCCAGTGACGTCACCAGCAGGGTACTGTCCATGCCTTCAGCTCCATGCACCAGAACACAGGCCCCTTCCCTGTGAGCCCAGGGCTTGTCAACATTGGCTAGTCCTTCCCTGCCTGAGGCAGCCAGGCCAGGAATAGAATTGGTATAGTTCTAGGCTCTATTTGCTTACTGAGATATGGTTTTGTGCCCAAAGATTGAGAGCCCCGCCCATCCCACCCTGTTCTTACCTCTCTATTCCCTGGGCTGCTAGGCAGGCCGTGCTCAGTGCCTCCTGCACGTGTGCCAGCCAGCGGCAGCTCTCCAGCCGACTAAGCCACTGGTCCATGCTCTGCTCCAGGTCCCCACAGGCCTCCACCAGGCGCACAAAGCTTTCCTGTAGGGGTCGTCCCCTGCACGAGTGGGAGTCTGTTAACCCCTCCGCCAGGCCAGGCCCCCGTGAGCACAGCTTGGGAACCAATGCTCCAGACCAAAGAGGGAGAAATAGAACCCTCGGAGGAGTGGATTGGACAAGAGGGACCCAGGACCCTTTGGGAAGCCCACCTAATCAAATGGAAATGATTCAGTATTCTTGAGGATTCCCTAATCTGATGCAGGAGGCCCATTACCCTTTGGGGAGAACTGTTCTGTTTCAGGGGACAAGCATTACCTGGGGAGGGGTCTCAGCACTCTGGGGAAACACAGAATGCCCTGGGAAACCACCAATTTGATGGAAGTATCACACTAGCCTTGATGTACCCCAATTTGATGGGAGTACTGACTTCCTGGGGAGCCCCATTCTGACAGGAGAAACACGATACTCTAGGGATTCTGGTATCTGCTCCTACTTCCCCAAAACAGTAACCTCCTGCCAGAAAATCTTTACTTTTAATTTTTAATTTTAAATACAGTTGACGTACAATCTTAATTTCAAATGTGCAATGCAGTGATTAGACTTTTATATAACTTACAAAGTGATCCCCCATAAATCTAGTGCCCACCTGGCACCATACATAGTTATTACAATATTATTGACTATATTCCCTATGCTACATTTTACATCCCATTTTTATTTTATTTTACTTTTATTTTTTACTTGTTGATTGTCTGAGGGAGAGAGGAAGGAAGAGAGATATATAGAAAGAGAAATATCAATTTGTTGTTCCACTTATTCATACACTCATTGGTTGATTCTTGTATGCACCCCGACAGGAGATAGAACCCACAGCTTTGGTGTATCAGGATGATGCCCTAACCAACTGAGCTACCCGGCCAGGGCTTACAATCCCCTTTTCAAAACCCTTCAGTAACTCTGCATTGCCTTTAGGACAAAGTCTGAGCTCCTAGTCAGGGCATTGAAGATCTTAGCTCTGGCCCCTGCTGCCCCCTTAGGCCCACTCTACCTCCACTTCACACAGGACACTCCCACCATGCCCAGTGTTATCTGCAGTTCCCCAAACAGGACAGACGAGCAGGCTCCCAGCTCCTAAACACCTGCAGTGCTTTCCACATGGAATGTCATCTCCCACCCTCCAAAACTCCTCTTCCTCGCTCCAGTCTCAGCTAAAACATCCTATTTCGAGAGCATCTTTCGTTAGACTGCCTACACTGAGAGAGGCAACTCCTCCGTGCTGCTACTTATCACACTGAACTGTTAACTGCCCGCTTCCCGTTCACTGTTGGTCTCTCAGCCATGTCTGGGCTAGCCATTATCTAAGCCTTTGTGCTCAGTGCTGGTTGAATAAATGAGTAAACAGAGCTTTGAATTCTGGTTAGGGGAGCAGCACACCAGTGCACCCTCCTCAAAGCACAAAAACTGCCTCAGGACCTCCTCTTGGTACTACCCTCATCTGGAGACTGAGGGGATAGGTCCAGCTGGGCAGATACAGGTCCTCAGGGCAGGGGGCTGGGACCAATGCAGAGGGATGTGTGTGTGTGTGTCTGTCTGTCTGTGGTGAGGTTGTTCCTGGAAGAAAATTTTCAGTCTAATGTAAAGAGGAATTTTTCCTTTCCTGCAGAGTTGGAGTGGGGCTGTGCAAGTGGGGATGCTCATCTGGTGGGATGGCTTCAGGAAAGGCCCAGCAGTCCTCGAGCCTCCTGTAACGCAGCCCTTCCCCGTCTATTCCCCCTCCCCCATCCATGAAGAGTCCTGCAGGAGAGCCTGGGAGAGTATGGGCAGCCCCTTACCTCTCCAGGGGCCGATGCAGCCGTTTCCAGCCTGGGTAGGCGGCCTTGGACTCTGTGCCACCGCCAGTCATGCGGGACTGTTTGGCGGTCTGGGCTGAGCGCGTATCCACGATGAAGCCACGGGCCCCAGGGCGAGCCCCCGCCAGCACGGCTCGCAGCAGCTCCTCATCCTCAGCACAGCGCCGCTTCTGGGGCCCGATCGAGGGCTGGCTGGAACGTAGCAGTACCTGCAGACAGGAACTCAGCTCCGGATCTACAGACTGGAGCGGGGCAGAGTTGGCAGGGGCGGGCTGGGACACGGGACTTACGAACGGAACTGGCAAGCCTCAGATCAGGTCTGGGTTGCTTGTGGCGGGACGGGTAGGGACCGGAGGGGTAGACGCGCGCGGGCCCTGCGTGGACAGCAGAGAGACTAGACTTCGGGGGCCAGGGGGCGGGGCCAGGGAGTTAGACTCCGAAACCGGAAGAGGGGCGGGGCCGGAATGGGGAATCCAGAATTGAGCAGAGCCTGCGGGGCCTGTTGGCGGCACCCCCTGGCACTTCCAGAAAGGGCTAAAAGCCTGTATCCGGGCAGCAGCAGGGCAGCGAATTGGCCCAGCCATTGCAGAAAAGGGCCCGGTAGGGACCCGGTTGGTCCTAGCAGCGAGTCTGGGGAGAGTTGGGCTTACGGTTCCGCTGCGAGCATGGTGGTAGCTGAGCACAGGGAAGCGGCCTCCCTGGCGAAAACGGGCGCTGTGTGCCAGGGTGGCGTCGTCCACAGCGCGAGGAACGATCACCGCGCGGGGGTAACTGGGGCACAAGCTGAAGTCCTCGTTCACCTTACTCAGCCTCCACGCGTCGGTCTGCGGTGCAAGGAGTGGGAAAGGCCAAGTCTAGAGTACCCAGTGCGTGCCACTTCCCGGAGCTCCTCCCAGGCCCGGCCCTTCCACAGCCCCAGGCCCCCACGAGCGCACCCACCTCGAGAGCTACTCTCTTGTAGTAGCTTTCGGGCAGGTGGAAGTGCCAGGCGTCACCCAATCTCAAGCCCTTGGGACGATAGAAGAACGGATAGGAGGTGATGACCGATTCCAGGGAGGACAGCGCCTGGGGAAGGAAGTCAGGGGATCTGGGAAAGGTGGAACCATCTCACCATGACCTTACAGCCCCTTGATCCTGCAGCACCCGCCTCTCCAAGCACTGCAGAGCACCCTGCATCCCCTAGCCATTAGCTGTGCCCCGGGCTAACACTGGCAGCTGAATACACTTGCTCAGTAACCCCTATTTACTCCTTGTTGCAGGAAAGGGGTACCCTTTAAGGTACCCCTTAAGGTACCTTTAAGGACCTCGGGTGCACCCGTGGCGTACCTCTATGGCGCGGGCTATGTCCAGCGTCGCTTCCACTCCCTCTATGCGCAGTTCTAGCACGCACAGGTCCTTACAGCGCAGCGTGATGGTGCCAGAGTCACCCGCGACCCTGGGGATGGACGGGTTTAGGCTTAGTATCCCCCGCCATCCATTAGGGGAGGAGAAACCAGTTTTATAAAATGGTTTCTAATGCACCAGCTACTTCTGCCCTTGCCCCTTCCCCTCTCCACGGGGAGGCGCGAGGTCCCCAACTCCGGGGTCGCCCCTGCCAAGCTCACCGTTTCTCGATGGAGTCGACACTACGCAACAGCAGCAGCCACAGGTCTGTCGCTTGGGGTCCTGGAGACAGCAGCAGGTGGTGGCCCGTAACGCAAAGCGTGCCGCGCAGCGGGGACGCCTCCGAGCCACTCAAGAGCTTAGCTTGGGCCTGCCTGGTGCAGATCAGCTCCGAAAACTCCATTCCGCCTGTGGTGGGCCTCGGGCCCAGCAAAAGGACAGACTCCAGGAGCGTCAGGCAGGGTAGAACGCGGGCTCCGAAAGGAACAGGAACTGGTTGGGCAGCTGTTAAGGAGCCCCTTGGACAAAGGGACCACACCCTTTCAAAGGAATTTCCCCCTCTTATTGCCAACACCTCTTAGCGATTACCTCAGACAGAACTTGTTAAGGAAACGTTAATTTCGCCACCTGTGAAATGGGGCGAATAATCTTGCTTAAGCCTTTAACCTCGTTCCTAATTCGCAGGAGGCACTCAATATTTTTTCTTTTACTTCTTCTCTTTTCTTTTCTTTGCGGGGGGAGTTCCTTTTTCTCCCCAGAATGTCTCACAAAAGAGCAGAATATTGCCTCTGAAGACGAGGCAAAACAATGCTAGTTCTGTAAACTGTTTCTTCTCGTGCGAATCCATAAACTGCCACAGAACAACATAAAGGATATTTTTTATTTTTTTAGACTGCCTTGCTGGCACTCCTGTTAACTTAAAGAAAGAAAAATGCCATCCCTTCTCGTGGACCGTGGTGGAGGAGGTGGAAAGTGTGGGTGTAAACTAATGGGAACTGCCTACTTCCTCCTTTACATTTTAGGCTGGGTGGGGGAAATCCCTTGGTCCACCTTAAATACAAGCAGCTGTGTAGCTGGCACCCCTCCCCCACCACAGCTGGAAGTCCCAGCCTGAGGGCAACCTCTGTGGTGGCCACTTCTGGTTCAGTCCTGTCCTCTGGAGCCCCATCCTCTATCACTCCGTCCTTTGACCAAATATGAATTGCTCGTCCACTGAGCTGGGCTCTGTATTTAGTGTTGGAACCGAAGAAGGATGACTGAACTCTCCCGGTAATGTTTTCAGTCTGGCAAGAGACACACTTCAACTGGTAATTTGCTTGAAATTAAACCAAGTGGCTGGAGGATTCATCAATCTATCCATACAATTATTCTTTCATTTCTTAAACACTGATGCCTACACTGTGTTCATGCCTATACAGTGTTAAGTGCAGATTACTAAGAATAAGATGGACTTCTGCCTTCAAAGAGCCTTCTGGTCCACTAGGTTCCAAGCTTGTGTGTGTGTGAGAGAGATAGCTGGCCTGCATGTGCTCTTGGGCGCTCAAAACCCTTCTTTCAAATTAAAACAAAATCAGGCCCTGGCAGCATAGTTCAGTTTGTTACAGCATCGTCCTGATACACCAAGGTTGCAGGTTCCATCCCCAGTCAGGGCACATACAAGAATCAACCAATGAATGCATTAAAAAGTGGAGCAACAAATTGATGTTTCTCTCCTTTTCCTTCCTTTCTCTCTCCAAAAGTTCAATTTAAAAAGTCATAGGTGGCCCTGGCTGGTGTAGCTCAGTGGATTGAGCGCGGGCCTGCGAACCAGACAGTTGTGGTTCGATTCCCAGTCAGGGCACATGCCTGGGTTGCAGGCTGGTTCCCTGAAGGCCAGTTCCCAGCAGGGGATGCATGAAAGGCAACCGTACATTGATGTTTCTCTCCCTCTCTTTGTCCCTTCCCCTCTAAAGATAAATAAATAAAATCTTTAAAAAAAAAAGTCATAGGTGGACCCCATAATATAAACACAAAATTGGAAATATTCTATGAAAGGAACCAGACATAAAAGTACAAATTATAAACTTCCAGACCAGCAGCAACTGCTGGGATGGGAATTTATTAGAAATGCAAATATGCCCTGGCCAGTGCGGCTCTATGGATGGGGTGCCGGCCTGGGAACCGGAGGGTCCCTGGTTCGATCCCCAGTCAGGGCACGTGCCTGGGTTTCAGGCCAGGTGCCCCATAGGGGGCATGTGAGAGGCAACCACACATGGATGTTTCTCTCCCTCTCTTCCCCTCTCCCTAAAAATAAATAAAAGCATTTTTTAAAAAAAGAAATGCAAATTATGCCACCCCTTCCTCGTACATGAGGCCCAGCAATTTTTTTACAAAGATACTTTTTAATAATTTTTTCCACAATTTTATTTACTTATTTTTAGAGAGAGAGGAAGGAAGGGAGAAAGAGAGGGAGAGAAATATCGATGTGTGAGAAATACATCAATAGGTTGCATTTCCCCCACCTCTCTCTCTCTCTCTCTCTCTCTCTCTCTCTCTCTCTCTGGCATGAACCCTAAAGGGGAGGGGGAGGAACAGGCCCACAAACCAGGCCTGTGCCCTGACTGGGAATCTAACCAAGACCTTTCCCTTTGCAGGACCACACTCAACCAACTGAGCTCCGCTGGTTAGGGCCCAGCAATCTTTTTTTAACAAGTTTTCCAGGTGATGCATGCTAAAGTTTGAGAACCACCAGAAAGTATTTTTTAAATGGGAGAACCTAATCTGTGCTGAGAGAAATTAGGGTAGTATCATCCTTCAGATGTCGTGACAGCCCAGGAGCACAAAGGCTGCACCAGCCTGCATGGTGGTAATGCGGTGCACCGTTGCTCAATCTGGGTGCTGGTTATAAGCATGTTTAGTTTGGGAAAATTCATCCAGCCATGTGTTTACAATAAGGGAATTTTTCTGTTTGTATGTTATGTTTCAATACAAAGTTCACAAAAGGGAGCTGTTCTGGTTGAAGCCCTGGGAGGGCTCGGGAGGGGCAGGCCTAGCTGTGCCCTTAGCCTACACACAGTCCCTGAAAGATTTCCAAGGGGAACTAAAGTTCCTTAAAGTGTAGCTTGAAAATCTGTCCCAACAGAGTCAGTGACTTATCCAAGGCCCCGCATAGCCAGCACCAGAACCCAAGTCTCCTAATTCCTGGGCCGGGGTTCTGGACACTTCCTTTGCTGAAGGGCCAGTGGCATGAGCAAGGACATGGGCAGCTTGTCAGCCTCCTATCCCTCCCCTCTCCCTTACTTGGGTCTTGGGACGAGGGCCAAGATGCTGGTGTTGGTGAGGCTTTTCTCATCCTGGAGCGACTTCCTTTCTGGGAAACTGGGTGTCTCCTTCTGAGCAAAGACAATAAAATTCATCCAAGGGGCCAAAGGCTCAGGGCTTCTCCTGCCCCAAACGGATAGGCATCACGTGGCTCCAGGGTTAGCAGTCCAGGAAAATCCCAGCCCTGCACACTGTCTCCCGCACCCGTCTCCTCACTCACCCTGACAAACTCAGCCTCCCCTACCCACCCTGAACTTTCACCACCCCATACTCCCTGGCACCCTGCTCTCACCCTCAGCTTCTGCCACCTCTCCCTGGGCAATCTTGCAAGCCTTTCCCTAATCCCAGAGCTGCAGTCTTATTCTGTCACTCACCCCCAATTTACCATGTCCCTGGGGCCACTGAAATTCCAGGCAGTGGGTGAAGAAGAGGAGGAGTATGAAGAGGGAGAGAGCCTCAACTCTTTGAAGGCACTGACGGCCAAGCTGCAGCTGCAGACGCGGCGGCCCTCATATCTGGAGTGGACGGCCCAGGTCCAGAGCCAGGCCTGGCACAGGGCCCGAGCTGGACCTGGGCCGGGGGAACCTGGGGCCATCTGCGGCTTCGACTCAATGGACTCTGCTCTTGAGTGGCTCCGACGGGAGCTGGTGAGTCTGGTGGGATGGGCAGCCTTGCAAAGGGCCTTTGAGATAATCCTCCAAGACCACAGGTATGGGGTGGGGATGAGAATACACCCCACCTCCAGCAACTGCCCATTCTTGTGGCTGTGTTCAGGGGCTGAGGGGCCAGGAATGCATTTGTTCAGTGTTTTATTCAGGGAGACTTGCCGAAGGATTCCATTCAATCTATGACCTCATGCTTCTGTGGCTAAAGGGACGGAGCCTGCCCTTCAGGTCACGGGTTGTAGATGGGGAGGCCATGGGCTCCCCTACCCTGGGAATTGCTGTACCCAAAGATACTATGAAGTACAAAATGAGGCACTGACCACGCTGGAGGCAGAATCTGAGGAGGCCAATGTTGAATAGGTGACTCTTAACATGTGTAAGTATCAAGAGGCCCAGGCTCCTAATTGGAGATTCCACTTCATTATCTGGAATGGGGCCCCGGGCACCTGTGTTTGTTTAATAATGGCTTAGCTTGGTTTTAGAACCACCAGTGTGGAACAAGCACAGAGAGATGGGGAGGGATTAAGCTGGAGGACACAGCCACAGTGCCAAGACCCAGGGTGTTGACAGGAAGGGAAGAACGGGGTGAGCGCGGCTGAGGTCCCACGCGGCCCGCTGATGCCCCCTCTCGACCGCAGAGGGAGATGCAAGCTCAGGACCGGCAGCTGGCGAAGCAGCTGCTTCGCTTGCGGGCCCAGCTGCACCGGCTGAAGGTGGACCAAGCCTGTCACCTGCATCAAGAGCTGCTGGACGAGGCCGAGCTGGAGCTGGAGCTGGAGCCGGGGGCCGGCCTGGCCCTGGCCCCGCCGCTGCGCCACCTCGGCCTCACACGTATGAACATAAGCACTCGGCGCTTCACACTCTGCTGAGAACCTGCGTGCCTACTGAGTCACCGACTACCCTTTCCCCAGCCCTGCTGGACAGGGGAAGCGGAAGGGTGCCCCAAAGGCGCCAGCACCTGGCACGGATGGGGGTTGGTGGGTACACTCAGCACTGGGAGCATAAAGCACCAGCCAGCATCCTCTTCCTGCTGCTGCCCCAGCTGTGTGTGGGGGTGGGGAAGAGGAGCTTACAGACCCTCAGGCTCCTCAAATAAATGCCCTCTCTGCTTCCTGTCAAGGTCTCTTTTCATTTATTCAGGCCAAGGTCTCTAAGTGTCTTCTGTTGCAGAAGGTCTGGGTTGGGGGTGGACCTGAACGAATGGATCCCCATCTCCTCCACAGCTCTAGCTCTGGCTCTCTATCTTATCAAATTCAGAACTGGGAAAGAACTTAAAATGAGCCCCATGGAAGGTGACCTGGGTAAACGGGCAGCTGAAGAATGCGGCATCTGATAGACCAGGGTTCAGAGCCAGCCCCACCACTTACTTCTATCAGACCCTGAGGCGGTCCCTTAATTTCTGAATCTGTTTCTTTGCCTCTAAAACGCAAGTGCTAATTCTCACTCCACAAGTCGGTGGACATGTCTTATGTGCAATAATGCACAGTAAGCACTCAGTAAATGTGAACTCTCAACTGCTTATTACCGTCACCAGTGCTCGGACCACTGTGCAGAGGCCCAGAGATTTCCTGTGAGGTGCTTGGGATCATAACAAGGTGGCTGGCTGAGGCCTGTAGCCCAGACTCTGGGCTCTGTGTCACTGTAGTTTTTGGGTGTTTTTTTGAAGCTTTGTATCTCTTAGCTTTTGTTTCTGTGTTACCTTCTTTGTCTGACTTTCCAGCTCAGGCTTCCTCTTCCCCCCACCCATTTCCTGTCTCCCCCTTCTCTCCGCAGCTGAGGTGTACACTGCATCAGCTTCCACTTCACAAACCCCAACAATGCTTTGTGGGCTCCCTTCCCCCAACCTGCTCACTCAGTGTAGCTCATGGGTTGGTGACGCATTTATACTTTTTTTCTGGGAGGGGTTAAGGCTCTTGGGCCTGATGAAGGCTACCAGCAGTTTCTCATAACACTGATGACCTGGCCCTTATCCTACGGTGGGTGCCAGCCTCAGTGTGTGGCCCCAGGTTAAAGGGAGATGCTTGGCCTGCTTGCCGTGCGAGAGAGGGTTCCTGTCTCTTGCCTATAACGAAAGGTGCTGCCAGTCTGCTGCCCGCAGCTGGGTGCTGGGGGAAGGGGGTTCGATCTGTCTTCCACCTGTTGCAGGAGACGGTACCAGGCCCCACACCTTTAACGGGGCCTGTGGCCTTGCCTCTACCTGAAGTAGAAGTGACCCCCTGCTCTCCAACCATAATTAATGAGTGTTGTCCCGCCGCCACTTCCTTAAACAGCTTGTTTCCAGCATCTTGTCTGTTGGAGGAGTGTCAGCCTACCCTCCGACTGTAATAAAGCCATTGTCCTCTGCCCCAAAATGATGTAGCTGTTATTCTGGCTGCAGCAGTCCTGTTAGCCTGACATCTGATTATCCCCAGCTGCTTAGCAGGGACCCTGGACATTCTTCTGGCTCTGAAGTGATGTTCCCTTTGCCTCAGACTGTGGCGAAAGGGTCCTTCAGCGCTCGGACTGTGACGACAGTGCGTCTCGCCTTTCTCTGACAGCGGAGAGTGTGACTGCTTGCCCCTGCTCATTGGGGTTTGAAGCTGCCCTTGATCTCTTGTCCAAGTGCACCTTGAAGGGCAAGAGGGAGATTCCACCTAATATCCTCTCTTCCCCTCCAAGTGCCACCCTCAGCATGAGTAGGGTCAGGCCTGGAGATGTACAGGACCCTCAGGGACTGAGGGATGGGGGGCTATGTTGGCAGGAAGCTTGGGGTGCTGGAGGCTTGTGGTTGGGCTGCTGGGGCCCGGTTGGCTGCAGAGCCCTCAGGAGGAGGCAGGAAGTCAGGGTGGGACGTGGGCGCGAGGAGTCAGGTGGCGGCTACGACGGCAAGGGGAGCTGAAACTGTCTGGGCAGCCAAGCTAGGCCAGGAGGACCATGTGAATGGGGCCGGAGGGCTCCTGGGCTGGGCAGGTAAGGAGTCCTGGGAACAGGGGTCCAGGGGCCGTGGTGGGGGGCCTCACAGCAGGGGGCTTCATTTCATCATGGGGCCAGGCTACTTGGGTATGCAGCAGCCCTTTAGGCTAGGGGACAAAAGAACCTTGCTGGAGGTCAGGTGGGAGGCATGCGATAGTCAGATCCTCTTTCCGGTCTAGTCGCTGGCTCTTGGTTCTGCCACACTGCCCGCCGTGGTCTCCACCCCACTGGGAGGTCTGGCACCTGGGCTGCCAGGTATTAAAAAGGCCTTCGGAAATCCCCAAGCCCAGTGCTCGCTTCGGCAGCATATACACGTCCCCAAGTCCATCCTCCATCCCGTGATGGATGAGCCGCCTGGCACCCCAAGAGGGCCAGGCACCCCCTCCCCACAGCCTCGCAGCGACGCAGTGGCAGAGCCAGGCCTTGGGAGGAGTGATGATTGAGGCTGTGACCCGTTTCCTGTGGAGCAGAGTAATGGTCAATCTCTAGGGAAGGGACCCAGGAATCCTTCTGGCTGCTGGGGCAGACCCCAGTGAGAAGAAGCTCTTCAGAGGCCCCAGAGTCATCCAGAGCATCTGGATGGACACGAGTGAAGTAATTTTAGCCTCAGTGACCAGCATGGCCTGAGAGAGGGAGGAGTCTCCCGTTAGGAGTGGATGGATACGGGGGGACATATTTATCATCTGCGATGGGGCCTCCAGGGTGGAAGTATCTGACCGGAAGCTGGGAAGTTGGAGCGGAGGGGGAAAGGGGAGAGAGGAAGGGCTATTTTTATCCCAGACAGGGGTGCGGTTGGCCCTGGATGAGGAACGCGTGAACTTCCACCTGGAAAGCTGCCATTCCTGTCCCTGCCGAGTGTTGTGGATGCCCTCCCCTCTCCCCTCGCTTGCTCGCTTCCGCAGCCCCATGCACACGGCGGCGGCGGCATTTGTAGGGCCAGTTGGTCCTGTAGATTCCTGCTTCAAACCCCAGCAAGGTGGAGGCCCAGGAAAGCATATTCAGCAACCTGCCCACCCCCTCACTGTCTCTCAGGCTTCAGATTATGGGGGCAGTCCCCACCTGCCCCAGACTTTCCACATTTCCCCTACCATTGGAAGTTTTCTTGACGCACAGTTTCCATGTGGTCAGCATATCCCAACCTTGCTTCTGTCCGTAGCTCCAGACCTGCAGACTTTCATGGGAGCCAGGGAGCACGCTGGCTCCCCCTGCACTTGACCAAGGCTTTTCCACACCCTAGACAGGCTTAAGCAGTCCCCCAACCCTGCCACCAGCCTGTGCTGATAGATGACTCCGGGCTGAGGGTCAGATGTTCTTCTCAAAGGGAAAAAGGGCCAAGCAATGGGGCGAAAGGACAGGCTGGGCATTCAGAGGATGGGAGAAGGCACCACTTAGGCGATTTGGAGAAGGCTTCCTGGAAGAGTGAAGGCAGTTCTGAGAAGGACGAAAGCCTGTTTTGGAGAGTAACAAAAACACGAAGGCAAGGTCACTGTCTCTGGGTTCTGTTTCTTGGGTACCTTGAGGGTAGAGACCTCAGATCAAAACCAAATGCGGGAGAGCCAGTGCAGAAAACACGCGTCTCAGAGGCAGGCCCGCCCAGGTACAATTCCGGTGCTGCCATTTTCTTGAACGAGTGTTTTCGCCTCTCCGAACTCCAGTTTGTTTACCTGCAAAGAAGCAATAATGAATCGCTCCCGTACAGAGTGCTTGTGGCCAATCGAAGAGGAAGATACTGACTATGTTGTGCTGTGGGTAATAACCTGACACACAGTAGGTGCTAAACAGAGGTTTGGTACTTTCTCCTCCTGCAAGTGTGCGCCAAAGGGAAGGCGGTCCACACCCAGAATTACTCCTGCTCAGCACTTGGCAGGCCAGCAAACCACCCATTCCCTCACGCTTGTGGTGTGGCTTTGCAAATGAGCTTGTTTCCTGTGTATGGTGGGTGTGAGAATTGTCGATTAGTCTACAGGTCTACTTTAGAGGAGGGTCCCCCACACAACCACACACGCTCACACACCCTCCCCATCCCAAACACCATACACATCGTCTTTGCAAAATGTATGTGTGCGTGTATGTGCAGAGGCAGAGGCAGGGACTACACATCCATACACACCCCCGCAAGCTGACGGCTTCAAGGCCAAGCTTAATTCAGTGAAAACAATGCTGAGAGAAGCTGATGTGTGGGCGGCGTGGGGACAGGCCGGCCCAAGATACCATCCAGGGATGTGACCCTCCTCTAACAAGGAACTTCAGTGTTGGCTTTAAAGTGTCTGGAGTAGCATTTCCTAGTGCTTGCCCTAGAGAATTGTAGTTCCATGAGGCACCTGGAAAGTAAAGGGTTCTGGGGTCATATCAACACGGCCTCAGCTGCAAACTGTCCTGTATTAGCTTCACAGTGAACACGAGCTTGTTAAAGCTCTGCACGACCCTGCAGAGAAAGAGCCAGATTGATTTTGTCTGACCCAGAGTTTCCTAAACTTTCTCCACCGCAGAACCTTTTTCTTCCCCAGTGCTTCTTCCATACCTATGCCTTTTCATACAAGGAAGGTGATGGAACAGTGGGCCATAGCGTTGATCCTCCTCAAATGATTGTGTCTCTTAGCAAAGTGTTTGAGCTGATGGTGGTCTTGTTGATTTCTGTTTTTCATGCACAAAAATTAGCACAGGGTTTGAATTTTAAAAATTCAAACAGTATAGAGGCATATAAAGATTTTATTTATTTATTTTTAGAGAGAGGGGAAAGGAGGGAGAAAGAGAAGAAGAAAAACATTGATGTGTGAGAGAGACATCAGATGGTTGCCTCACATGCCCCTACCTGGGGACCTGGCCCGCAACCCAGGGAGGTGCCCTGACTGGGAATTGAACCGGCGACCTTTTGGTTTGCAGGCCATTGCTCGGTCTGAGCCATGCCAGCCAGAACTTGGCATATAAAGAGATAGATGAAATGTAGCTCCATCCAATCTCACTCCTGGGAGATGCTCACCAGGGACAATTGGGTGTGCATCCTTCCAGAATTTCCTGTGTATGACTACAGAGAAGCCTTGCGGTTAAGAGCCTAGTCTCTGAAGGCAGGTAGACCCAGGGTCAATGGCCGCCCACCACTGATTTGTTTATTATGAGGACTCAGACCAATCGCTTTACCCTGTACGGGCCTCAGT